TATTATGTATTATTATTCTTATTATATATATATATATATATATATATATATATATATATATATCATATAACATTTAACATTATTTAACGTAAGTTCGATTTTTTTTGGTGGGCGATCCTAGTCGGGAACCGGCTATGTCAGAAAGCTCTAGTTCAAGCGCTTAACTTTCGCGTCCGTGCAAAACCCGATAGTAATCGATCAACATTACGCTTGTAGACCAAATAACTGCTCTCCAACGGTACGTACATATTATATATATATATAGGTATATATAAGAATCGAATGTTTTATTATATAAAGATACTAAATTGAAATCCACCTTAGGTAATTCAACCGGTGAAACGGTGAAACGGAAAGCATAAAAGCGACAGGAACGTCGGTGACGGAGAACGCCATCAACTTAAACTGCAGCAGCAATGTTCCATGCACAAATATTCTGCTTTCCGACATAACGTTGACCGCGGCGGCGCCGGCGTAAAAAGTCAACGCTGCCTGTAACTTCGCTTACGGCGTCGCCCGAGGATATGTCGTCCCTCAATCTTGTCTCTCTCTCTTAGACCTTTCACCCCCTTTTTTCTCATTTCGGTTTTCCCGTTCGATTTCGGGATTTAATAATACAAAAAATGTTTATTTTCTAAAGAAACTGGTTTGATTACGATTATGTATTATTCGGGCCGGTTTATGAATGAAGAAAAGGAATTACAATATTTCATTAATCTATTTACACTCAAAGTGCTCTTAATCTCATCACGTTTATATTATTCAGTGTGTGTGTGTGTATATATATATATCTGATAAAACTTTATGAAATATTAAATAAATTCGGACTTACGTAGCTATTTAGAATTTACATCATGAAACCCAAATGGCATCCATGCTTCCGTTGGAGCTTCCTTTCTAAATCATATTTCCAGAAAATTATCAAATAATCTTTCGATTTATTTTTTGTTAAGACAAAATCACCAGTAATCCCGACAAGAACACAACCCATCCCTGAAATGGTGGAACCGTGTCGGATCTCTCAACACTATCTCCCTTCCCACAAGCTTGGAGATGAACTTAATGGCCGAGTGACAGTCATTACACACTCTCAGATTCTTCATTACCGTCAAAGTGGTCCTGTCCGGAGTACTTATCAGCCCGAACGCAATGGCAAGCTTCTCGCTATGGTGTTTCAGAATCTCCTCCTTCACCTCTTCTTCTAGGTCATGCAAGACAGATGCCGTGTCGGGCAAGAAACCCATCTTCTTGATTTCCTCCCATATCTTTCCAATGGCTCTGTAGATCTCGTCCTTGTCCGGATGAGCATTGTCTTCCACTCCAAAGACATGGACTTTGTGTTTCACTTCTATCCAGCTTAACCCTTTATCCTTCTTCACTCTTCCTTCCTTCATCGTCTTTCTTACCTTTGCCGCTTCGTCCCATTTTCCACAAGCTGAGTATAAGTTAGCCATGGCTAAGTATGCTCCGCTGTTGTCCGGCTCGATCAGAAGAAGCCTCTCCCCTGCAAATTTCCCGAGCTCTACATTCTTGTGGACCCTGCAAGCCGAGAGGAGTGCCCCCCAAGTGACTGCATCCGGCTCGATCGGCATTTTCTCGACGAATTCCCGTGCTTCGCGCAATAAACCCGCTCGTCCAAGCAGGTCGACCATGCTAGCGTAGTGGCTAAGGGTCGGTTCGATTCTATGCAACTCCTTCATCATTCTGAAATACCAACGACCCCGATCTACCATCCCTACATGAGTACAGGCCGAGAGAACGCCGACGTAGGTTATGTGATCGGGTCGTAATCCCTCCTCCGTCAGCATTTTCTCAAAGATCTCTAGCGCTTCTTCTCCATGGCCATGCTGTGCAAAGGCTATAATCATGGAGGTCCAAGATACTGTATCTCTTTTCCCGGGTATCGAGTTAAATACCCGTCTCGCCAAAGCTATGTTTCCCGTCTTTGCGTACATCGTGATCAAAGCATTGCTCGCAGAAACCGAATAGACTTCACCTGATCTTATAGCACTCGCATGGATTTGCTTGCCATGGCCAATGGATGCCAAGCTTGAAGTTACACTTAACATTGCTGCAAATGTGTAACTGTTGGGTCTTTGCCCTTCTGCAACCATTGATCTGAAAAGGCTTAAAGCTTCAACATACAATCCGTGCTGTTCGTATCCGACGATCATGGCGGTCCATGCGATTACGTCTCGATCTCTCAGCGAATCGAATAACGTTCTAGCCGGGTTTATATCCCCGAGCTTGATGTAACCGTCAAGTAAAGCTGTGAAAGCTTCGATTTTGAGATCTGAGCTTCCTTTTTGTTCAACGATTCTTCGAGCAGTCTCGACGCCTCCAGACTTGGAATACATCGAGATCAAGGCGTTTTCCACGACCCCTGAAAGATCAAACTCGGTTCTGATAATATGCCCGTGGATCTGTTTCCCGGAATCAAGCTTCTCGAGATTGGCACAAGCAGATAACACGCTCGCGAATGTGAATCTATCTGGTGACAAAGAAGAATCTGTCACCATCTTCGAAAATATCTTTAGAGCTTCGAGATCACACCGATGGCGATTGTAACCAGAAATCATGGAATTCCATGTGATGATATCTCGCTCAGACATTTGCTCGAACTGAGCAAGAGCAAGATCCATCCGACCAAACTGCATATGCAATGCAATCATAGCGTTCCAGCTCGAGATGTCCCTCGAAATCATTCTGTCGAAAACAACTTTTGCCATCATGGGATCGCCGCACTTTGCATACATATTGAGCAAAGAATTCGCCACAGAAATGCTGCCGCTAAGACCGAGCTTGACAGCCAAAGAATGAACCTTTCTACCTATCTCCAGTCCATCAATGGCGGCAACTGATGCAAGAACACCCGTAAGCGTGAACTGGGTCGGCAAAATTCCTTCCCTTATCATCTTCCCCATCACGCTTATAGCCTTCCCATATCGACCCGATTTTTTATACCCCACAACCATTGTTGTCCACGAGACAGAATCCATGTGAGGCAACTTATCGAAAATCTCATGCGCAGCGTCCATTTCTCCTCGTTTAGCATAAGCAGAAAGAACCGTGTTCCAGGAGAAAGCAGTTCTCAGGGGCATTTCGTCGAACAGTTTGCGCGCATCAATGGCGTAACCAGTCTTGGAGTAGAAGTTCATGAGGTTGTTCATCAGGAAAACGCTGAAAACAAGACCCGATTTGATGATTCGGCCATGAACGGATTGCGCAGTGAAGAGATCATTTGATTTGAGGGATTTTTGCAGGAGGTGGATGTAGAGGTCCGACCGAGGAGCGAGAGAGGGTGGATATGGGACCATATGAAACTAGATTTAGGTACGATGTAAGAATCCGAAACCTCTGGTTCTGCTCTTGATCTTGGCAAAAACCTGGAAAGTTGAGAACTTTTCTCCAAGACGAACATTTATGTCTGAAATTGGCGGTAAACATGGAGAAAACGCCCAAATGAGCAACGAAAACAAGTACATATATAATAATATTATACACAGAGAGAGAGAGAGAATGGCCAAACCCTTGTTTTGATTGGCTTCACTAATATTGCAATTCTTGTTTCAGTACATATACAAAGAGATGAACTTTTCTGATTACCAAACTGCTCATCCGAAAATCATTTGAAGGAGATTAACTACGTGGCTAACTTTCTCCTCCGATTCAGTTGATCTTTGACAAGGGAAAGCATGGCTGCTCGCTCTCATCGTACAAGCTTGTGGATTCCGACAATGAAACATGTCTGCTACATCTGTCACTCTCCAGACTTGAACAGATGAACTGAAATGAAAGGTCATGGCCGAGATGAAGAATGAGGATCAGTCTAATAATAGGGTACTCTGTTTCAGTTCAAGGCTTTCAAAAATCTGCAGAGACTGGAATTTCTTGCTGAGATTGCAAATTAAATGCGATGACTGATATCAACTTGGAGTACCGGCAATGTACTATCACTGCCTCTGCATCCATCAGAACTCCTGAAGAACCACAACAGTGATTGAGATGTAACATATTATGTTCATGAGGGCAAATACTTATGATCTAAAACAACTTAATTCCGGAGGCTACATCCCAATAAAATCAACCCAGAAGCTAAAAATCCAAACTTTATTTTTGTTTGAAACATAAAAATCCAAACTTTGGCATAAAATTCAAAGGTTTCAAAGACCCGGAAGCTGAAATCAAAACTACGCATTACCCACAAGGTATAACTCACAAATTTAAGGGGAAAAAAAGTTCGGAAGAGAAGGTGACAATGGTTGGAATCAAACCTGGAGGCATTGCAGCCACTTATCGATCTTGCCGATTTCTTCGAATAGCATAAAGCAGTGTTCACACCTTACGGCCTTGGCGTACTTGTCAAGCGTCTTCGCTAGTGGTTCTTTATCGCTAAACGTCGCTATCAGACTCTGGCGAGCACTATGTTCTCTCTCTCCAACCTCTCTTTCTCCACCAGTTACCTCTTTGATAATGCCCGCACTCAAATTTTGCTTGTTTCACCGGTCATATTCATAGCTACCTCGTAACTGCAGGGCAAAGATCTCATCTTTGGCAAGGAAACTCAAACTTTCCAACACCGAGTATATCACTTCGCCTTGAGGGTGATCGCGGTCTTCCACTGTAAAAACGTGATTCTTGCCATTCATCTGAACCACGCTTTCTCCAGGATGCTTCTTTACGTTTCTGCATTTCATCAGCGATCTTATCTTCGCTACTCCATCCCACATCCCAGCATATGCGTACATATTAGCCATTTCCACGTACGGAGCAGCCGACTGTGGTTCCAACACAAAAAGATGGTTAGCCGCATGCTCGGCAACCTCTATGTTACGGTGGATCTTGCAAGCGTTGAGCAGTGCGCCCCAAATGCCAGCATCTGGTTTAGCTGACATGTTGTGGATGAGCAGTAGGGCATCTTTTAGCCTTCCTTTTCTACCAAGAAGATCTACCATGCAAGAATGATGGTCTAACCCGGGATCGATTTTATACACTTCTCTCATCATGCGGAAGATTTCCCACCCTTTTTCTAGAGAACCCGAATGAGCACAGGCTTGGAGAACAGCGAGGAATGTTATGTGGTTTGGCTTGTAAACCGAATTTATCATTTCATCGAAAAGTTCCAAAGCTTCGAGGAAGATTCCATTCAATGCGTATCCAGCTATCATCGCAGTCCATGTCACAACAGTTTTGTTGGGCATGCGATCGAAGATATCCTGAGCTTCACGTATACTTCCACACTTTGAGTACATATCGATCAGTGCATTACAGATCATGATGTTATCTCGCTTGAATCTGTTAGTATCAGCGTAAGCGTCAATCCATCTTCCAATATCCAGTGAACCAGTCTTTCCACAACCCGAAATCAGGGAGAGCACAGTTACTACATCCGGCTTCTCTCCTCTTTCACACATGCCAAGAAAAAGGGCTAATGCCTCATCCATGTTGCCTTTCTCAGCATACCCACTTATCATGACAGTCCAAGAAACACATGTTCTGGTAGACATGGCATCAAACAAAAGCCGAGCTGAGCAGATGTCCCCAGACTTCGAATACATAGATATTAAGGTATTAACCACACCTACATCTTGATCAGAACCAAGACGGATTGCATGAGAATGAATCAACCTTCCTGTAGTTAGTGCTTCAGGGTTTGAACAAGAAGCAGCCAAATTAACAAGGGTGCTTAAATCTGGTTCAAATTCTTCACGCAGCATCAACCGGTAAAAGCCGAAAGCTTCATAAGCGTTCTCAAAATTGGCGCATGCTCCGATCACAGAATTCCAAGAAACTACTGTTCTGTCACCTTTGTCAATGGATTCAAAAACTGATTTTGCTGAATCCAAGTCACTGCATTTTGCATAGGCCGAAATCCACGTGTTGGCAACTGAAACTTGCGAATCTATACCGAGACGTGTCCCAAAAGAATGCAAAGCCTTTAAAAGTTTCAAACTTTCTCCACTAGAAGCAGATTGAATCAAAGTCAAAACAGTCACAGAATCAGGCGGGATCTCCTTGAGCCTCATTTTACGAAACAAAGAAAACGCCTTCTCAGTGATACCCGGCTGAGAAAAACCAGAGAGCATCACATTCCAAGCAGCAGTATCTCTTTCAGGCATTCTCTCGAACACTTTAGTGGCATAATCCAGACGATTACATCTCACATACATATCAACCATTGTCGTCCCGACAAACATATCTGAGGAAAACGGGGATTTCAAAACGTGGGCATGGATGATTTCACAGCAATTGAGATCGGAGAGCCTAGCGCACGCCTTTGCGACGAAGGGAAAGGTCAAGTAGTTGGGCTCAATGCCATTGCGCTTCATATCTCGATATAGAAGAAGAGATTTCGCTGGGTCATTGTGGTTCAGAGCTTCTCGTAACTGGGAGTTCCATGCATTAACGGACGAAAAGCTGGGCAAACAATTCGACCGACGAAGAGGAATCAATGACATGGAAATCTCTCCGTCCTAAGATGGCGACGGCGAGTAGACGTAGTCGTGTGTCCATTGAGAAGTGTTGAAAAGGCCCACTGATATGCCTTGGGCCGTTTATCATTTCGGTGTTCTTGGTTTAGTTGTTTGGTATTAATTTCCGGTTTGTTTCGGTTTATTTTCTGGTTTACGATTTTCTGGTTTTTGGTTTTGCTTATTTCGGATGTGTAAGAAGACGCTGTAATACTCTCTTTTTTCTTTAGAAAATAATATATAAATGCCTAAATTTTTATAAAAATATCATATAAATACTTTAGCTATAAAACTTTTATATAAATGCTTAAATTTTTTAAAAATTCTATATAAATACCTAGAATTTTAATTTTTTTTTCCAAATAAATACAAACTTGAGTTATTTTTCAAATAAAAATAAATGATGTCATTAACGGATTTTGGATTTATTTGAAATTTTTTTAGAAGTCTATGTATTTATGTAGGATTTTAGAAAAGTTTAGGTATTTATATAAAAATTTTATAGTTCGGATATTTATTTGAGATTTTTGTAAAAGTTTAGATATTTATATACGATTTTTCTTTTTTTTTAATACATAAAAAAGAAAATTCAGTTTACAGGTGAGTTGCTGATGCATTAGCGGTGTCTTGACTTCTACTTGTTTATATATACATCATAATTTTTTACATAATTAAAAATCAAACCATGAGTTCTAATTACAAGAAGATTATGTTATATAAATATATAAATTTATTACATAATCAATAGTAGAGAAAGAGCAAACAAATACTTGCATATATGCATGCATAGAATTTGAAAGGTGAACAAAGATATGATATTACCCAATAAATAAAACATCAGCTTTTTTTCCTACATATAATAATAATAATAAAGCGTGTTTAATGAACAGCAAACAAATAACCAACAAAGAAAAAGGATGGGAAATTAAAGCAAGTTATGTATATATATATATATATATATATATATATGCTCAGTTAACTTGACCAGGTGGTCCGGTTGTCGCCTTCGGCGTCGGTCTCCTCCTCCTTATGAATCTTGTAATCATCGATACAACTCCTGTCTCTTCTCCCTGATGAATCGCATCCATTATATACATGCATATTTCTCAATCATAACCTATAATGACTGAACTATAGAGAGAGAGAGAGAGAGAGAGAGAGAGAGAGAGAGAGAGAGAGAACCGTTTCAGTTCCTGGGTCGTATTCTTCTGATGAAGAAGAACAAGAGTCAAGACCAAGACACTTGAAGATGGCTTCGACAGCTTTGTGAAGGAACCATGGGCATGAACATGGAAAACCATTACTGTCCACTTCGTCTCTTCTCCCTTCTCCTCTGCAACTTTCCATCTTTCTCCCTTCTCCTTTAATTCCACCTAGGGTTTGGTGGCCTTTCAGTCATTTGGCCTCACCTGTCTCCCTGCGTTCTTACTTACACACCACCACTCTCCATTTAATGACCTCTCTCTTTTATTATATTAAAAAAAAATTCACCTTCTCTATTACTCTTATTATTTAAATGCTAATTAAATTTAAACTAATTGAATTTATTGCGTTGGTTAACTTGTGGGGGTGTTTTTGTTTCTTGGTATTCACTCTTTTGCCGCTAGGTTTTTTCTGTCACTTTGGCCTTTTTTTTTTTTTTGATAATCCTAAAGTTCACCGGACCTTTTGGCCCGACTACATCTCCCAGAAGATCGGGGAAGCCCATGTGAATGCATTTACCCACGTTTGGGTTTGAACCCGGGATGAGAGTATGATTTGCATGTTCTCTCACCACTAGACCACCCAATAGACCACCCAAGCTTTGATACTTTGGCCTCTTCTTGGAACTATTTTTCTTATATTATATTTTTTATTTCTTCGTATGGACTGTTTAAAATGTGTTAACGTTACAAACATTTCTTCTCATTATCAATTCCTTAAACGTCGTTTCCCTAATGCCAAAACCTATGTATGGGTATCTAATGTTAGGAACTATATGACAACCTTAAATACATACGAAAACAAAAACAGCCCCGGAATCTTTCGTTTCTCAAATTAGGACATATCATTAAACTTATTGTAGTTTCTTTTAAAAAGTTCTCAACCCACGAGTGAATACAACATATTACATATATACTGTTTCATGGATTTTCTTCGACTATCCAATTGCAAATATGTTCCAAAATAAGTAATATATGATATGATTATGATTATTATTATTATTGGATTTTAGTTAGTACATATGAAGGTGTTTTTAATATGATAATAACGGATAACATTTAAAATCAATATTGTTATTATTTAAATGGAAGGTTAAGGAATAGTGGGTAAGAGGGTATTCGGACAGCAGCCATGGACAAAAAGCGAACGCAGCATGTACCTTTCGATCACCCACCTCATCTGAATTTCTTTTATCTGATCTCTGAACTCGTTCACAGAGATACATGCATATAGATGAATGTATACTGCATGCAAATTTTGATATATATATATATGTATATGTACACACACACTATATAGTATATATATATATATATTTACGCACACACACACGTGATGACTCGCCGAATTCTTTCCTTTTGGACTCATCAAGATTCTTTGGACGCAGAAGACAATGGCCTTTCCTCTCGGAACATTCGCTTGGACTCACGCAACGCAACAGATACATTGCTCTGACCATCTTATATAATAGTTTTTTAAAAAAATAATAATTTATGTGAATAGGTCCTATATATATTATATTAGATATGCTGTACACATCTCTAACGTTTTCTTCTTCTTTTTTTCCTCCCATCTCATCGATGATTTAGACGTTCGGCCTCGCAAATGTTCGAAACATCAGGTAGAATTGTATGTTAATTGGTTACAACTAATGTTGGGAAGGGAGTTTGTTTATCTAGGGTTTAGTTTTCAGTGATTCAATGAATATGCACGAAATTTCGCTTTCAACATTAGCAATTCCATATATATATATATATATATAATAATATGTTGTCATGTCATTTATTCAAAAGAAGACAAAACGAAGCACATGCAAGGAGCCGAAGAACGCCAGACCGACAGCCTATTCTTCTGAATATAAATGAATGGTGCAATATATATATATATCCAATAAACGTATATTATATTCTCCTTTTTTTTTTTCTCTTAGAGTTCATGAGAGATAAAATGGAGAGATTTGCCGGAGATGTCAAGGAGAGAATCTCTCGATTGTTCAAGTTTTGCAGAAGAGGTAATTAATTTGCAACACAACCATGCAGAGGCATGTACATGTATGCATATATATACACACACATTAAAACTAAACTACAATCTTCTCTGATGACTTGTGTATATATATACATACACACATACAGGAAAAGAGGAAGGAGGTCAGGACGAGCAACATGCAGAGGCAAGTGTATGTATATGTATATATTACTGGGATTGTACAAAAATCATACTCAAACCCCGAATTAGTTCGTTTTATCTATTTAACTTAGTTTTGTTTGGATTTCATGTTTTTGATCATCAGAAGCTAGAGGTAGAAGAAAGGGTCATCCGGGTCAAACCCGCAAAAGGTCCGACCCGACCGGGTTTCCCCAAAGGCCAGGGACCTCAGACAGGCTGATGATCTTCGAGGATTCTACATCTTAGGTGTTACGTGAGCTCCATTCCCTTTTTTAAAATTTATTTATTTATTTTCTGATGGCTTCGAATTTCTTTTCTCTTTGAAAATATATTCTATTTCCACAAGCGCGTACTTATTTCTTGGGTAAAATAAATTTTACCAACAAAGCATTTGTTAGATGTGAATATATATATATGCCTTCTAAAGGTTTGTGTCTGCAAAACGACACGAAGTCGTCCACCCCCAAGTGTTAATTTCCCCCCTTGAAAAGCACGTAGCTGAGAAACGGGAGCCACGTATACAACCTAACGAAAAAACGACACGACGTGTACTCTTCGACCTCATACATACAAAGAGCCTCTCCCTCCACCTTTAAGACTACTGTGATCATCTAAGCCGTTTAGGCGCGTGGATTGCTGCTCGCCCACGGCTCTCGTGTTTGCTGCCACGTCAGCAAATGGCAAACACAGGCCAAGAAGAAAAAGGAAAAAAAAAGGTCTCAATGTTGAGAGTGGGATTTGAACCCACGCCCTTTCGGACCAGAACCTTAATCTGGCGCCTTAGACCAACTCGGCCATCTCAACATTTGCTTTAGTTCGTATAATTGGAATAATAAAAAAAGTGAACATATTTGCTCAGTGATTATGGATTACACTTTCGCCAACGAAGAAGAAACATCAAAAGCTCGTACAAACTTATTCTTAACAAGAGAACTATAAATTTGTACGTATATAATATATATAATGTGTATGTATATACATGTAATGAATCTTCCGCAAACAAACATTACATTTGATGTTTTAAGATTCCGACAAAGGCATAACTGGTGAATTCCCGACATCAACACTGCAGAAAAGCTAGAGGTCTCTGGACGAGATCACACCGCCGTCTTCTTGGTTTAGAAAGCTCAGGACTTGCTCAAAGGCCTGGTTTTGATTTTAAGTATTTATATATAATTTCACGTCAAAGCCTTAAACCCACCAAAGCAGATTCAAAAGGAAAGACAGAGAAGAGGTAAAAGATGAAGTTACAAACCTCGATGGCGATTTCGGCCGGTGTGAGATCTGATACATCTCCATAGCCGAGCTTGTCTGCAATTCCTGAACGAATACCACAACACCACCATTCTCAGAAAAGGTTAAACCTTTGGATGGATCTGAACCAATTGAACTGAAACCGGGATTCGAGAAAGGACAGTACTTTCTAAGGAGACTCTTGCGTTTGCGTTCGTGTACGATTCTCCCCTCTCCTCCCAGATAGTCGAAAGGCGCTTGAATGCCTAAATGCATGAACTCTGTCTCATGTTTCTGTGTGTTTTTTTTTATCATAAAAACTCGGAAAATAACGAGCAAATGGACATACAACTGTGTATGCATCTCCTGATTCATCGTGTAAGAGAGGCCGTGAATTCGTTCCGACTGCAGCAATCCTATGCGCCAATGCTTTCAGTGGCACGTCTAGCCAAATGCTTATTCCTTTATGCATACACTTCCTGATAACAACGGATTATATTTCGGGATACGGGTTGCAATCGAAAAAGAATTTTACGAAATGAGAATCTAACGAAGAGAGAGGAAAGCAAACCAATTAACGGGTCTTATTACTGCACCTCCGCCGGTGGAGACAACGACTTGATACATTAGAGAGAGCTTCTTCAGTGCCTCGGTCTACAAGAAGGAAATAGCATGTACCAGCCATCAATGGGAATACTAAGGTGCAGTAAAAACAAAGAACAAAGACAGAACGAAGCAGAGCTCGATGCTTTGTGTCAGAAACTTATGGCAGCAGTATCCATGAAATGATGCAATGTATCTTCTGAATCATAAACAGTTCTACATTTAAAAAACATTCAAGTACTACATGTCTCGGTCACAATCACAATGCTGAATCGAGTTCATAATCTTTAAGAGAATCCATGTTCTTCAACCTTACATATTTCGATCCAAACTAACCTCCTTTGCTCTAAAGAAATTCTCTCCATAGCACTCGAAGATCTCAGCAACAGTAGTCCCATTCATACCCTGCTCGATCAAAGTATCACTAAACCATCCCACGTAAATGTCAAAAGTCAGTAATTTTTCCATCGTATCAACACCATATGCATAATATCCCCTCAAGATCCGAAAAACAGGTCAGGTAACAGGCTTCTTCCATTCATTTTGCGATATAACAAATAAGAGCAACTTCCTTTTCTAGGTACCGACAAAGACCGATACTATTTTACAATGAAGATAGCACACACTTGAAGGGCATATACCGTACCAATCAAAGAATGAATAGTCAAGTGCTTTCGACATTAACTTGCCCACCGTTGTCTTTCCAGAACCCATCATTCCTGCATTTATTTGTCAGGAAAATGTCAATTGTCTAGTAGATGTGATGAAAAAAGAGGAACACGGGAAGAAGCTAACCAACGAGATATATAGGCCGTCCATTTAAATATGGCTTCACCTCTTCTGCTTTTCTCTGAAAAGATCAAAGATTCAATAAAGCTCGAGATAATTGAGTACACTGTCTTTGTGTGGTTAAATGGTGTTAACTTGCCTTCAAAATCAACTCTTCGTCGAAGGGAGAACGGACAATCCCAGTCTCCAATAACGAAGCTACAAAAAAAGGTGGCAAAAGATCTCGATAAGCAACCAGATCACAGATTGAATCACATCATTTGCAAAAGATATGAACTTTTCAAATCCCGTGTAACCGAGCAATCAGGGCAAATGTATTTCACATGCTAATGAAGGGATTAATCATCATACTAGAAGAAATCAATCTACTCATCCGAACGCTTTTGTAACAACCTGGAGAGTTCTTCCCAGAATATGAAACCCCTGAAGAGACTAATTGACGATGATCACTTCTTTCCTCGGGTTGCAAACGAGCTACGGCAAGAGCTTTAAACCTTTTATCCTCCCTAGCTTGCTGAGAAAACCGCAAAGAACCATGCAGCAGCTTTCCCTCGAAATTCCTCCAATCAATCCATGATGGGTACTGAAACCTCTGAGCAGTAGCTGCTTCCATGGATCCACTCCGAGATATTTGATAAGCAGATTGACTGCAGTTACCAGAAAGACTGAAAGCTTAACTTGAATTCAGAATCCTGCAAACGCAAACAATGTAATTGGAACAAATTTCACTAAAAAATCAAAACTTTTATCACAATTCAAAACATTACTGCCCCAACAGACATTGAATGGAAAACCCTAATTGGTTTTAAGCTATATAGGCAACAAAAGTCCCGAAATTTGACCAAAAAAAAGGTAACCACACAAACCCATGAACAAATTCAATCACCAGAACTGGGAAACAGAAAATCAAAACTCACCCGTTTCCGGGATTGGATCAGGAAAGGAAACTCAGTAATCAACTTACACCAAAATAGATTGATGCCGATGAGATAAAAAGTTGGTTTCTTTTCAGAAGCAGATAAAATCATTATCACTCTTCAGTAGAATTTTCCCGGAAAAACAGATGTTTACATTCAAAGCAATCAACAAATGCACTTTCCCACCGGAAAGGACATATCATTTCGCCATCCTACAAACAGAAACAAAGAACAAAAAATTTCCCGAGAAAATCTGCGGTGAAGGCCAAAATTCTCATTGATTTCGCTTTACGACACAAAACGAACCCGATTAAAATCTCAAACTAAATCCAATCACCATAAAATTTACACAGTAACCGTCGAAGAGCTAATCTAATGCAAGCTAAAATTCTATAAGAAACCCCGTAATAAGGGGACATAACAATCCAGAAAGAACATAGACACTCAGAAATTCAATAATCGATAAGGAATTACCTGAGATTTCCTCCGCCTCCGGCGCAAAATACACGAAAGGAGGACACTTTCCGAGAGCCCAGATACGAAAGAACCGATCTTTCTCACAGAGATCGATTAATTTGGTGTGGGTTTTGTCTTATAATTACTTTTAGTTCTCCTTCACCTGCCTTCTTATTCGGCACGCACTTATCAGCTGGGTCCGATGGAGAAGATGAAGGCGAAGGGGGGTTGGTAAGGGTGAAACTGTGATGAGTTTATTAATGCTTCTCATATGAATATTTTTACCTAATTATAAATTTTATAAATTGTTTGTTTTAAATATTTGTGTATTATACATAACTTTAATGGTTAATTTTATTTTATTTTTACCACCACGATAACACCAGCAACATTAAAAAAAAAATCCTTTCGACTGCAAAGTTGGGATTTCATGATCGTGAAGTAATTTTGAAGAATTATCAGCTTTTCATGTATAGATATGTTTGGGTGTTCTTTGTATTCGTATTCTTGTTTTGACATTTTTCCTTTTTCTTGCATGTAAGTCGTTTTATTTTGGATTATCTCTTGGTCTTATGTATGGATTGTAAATTGTATTAATGAATTTTTACTCTTTTGTATAAATCGAATTCATACGTTAGCTAAAAGGATAATTTTTATAGTTGTATTATCAACTAAGAATATCCATTGTTTGTCAAATTTTGTCCCTTCTTCAAAAGCTTAATACGTTACAAAGGGAAAAACTTTAGGGATATTGATCATTTTAAAAGGGCATTTTATTTTATTAAGTAGCTTTAATTATGATAAGTCAGTCCATGTAATAGTTTTTTGATAAAATCTTTTCTCTGTCCTTGTGCGACTATTTTTTAAAATTATTTTTTCTGATAAAATAACACATGTTTTAAGATGGTAGACAACTCATGTCTAGCTTATAATTTGTATATGAGAGTCATGTACGGGGTTTAAAATATGCAAAAACACTACTGGTGTATATATATATATATATATATATATATATATATATATATTATAAACAATGGTCTAAAAGCTTTTGTGATTATTGAAAGAAAAAATCGTATTAAAATAAAATACACAGAGCGGTAAATATATTTGATGTCAAGGGCCCTACACTGGAAAGTTGGTAAATGGGACTTTGGTAGGTGAGACACAATCTTATTGGACCTACAAAATAAGATGTAAGAATTAGTATATTAAAAAATATATATACACATATATACACACATATGTGTCTGTGTGGCCACAGAGAAAAACGAGGTCAAATCAGGTCATCATAGCGGCCATTCTTTGTATTTCAACCAACCAAACCTAACCCCATGTTGATCATGATGTTTATGATGTTTGTGATGATGAAGATGATGATGTTGATGAAGATGATGGGAGCCCAAATAGATGTCGGGTGGGCTTCAATAGAAGCCCAGTAAATTGAGCTAACCGACATGAACACATAAATCTATCCGGTCCGGTTTCTAAACCGGTTTTGTTCTAATTCGCGTCACTAATCTGGCGGTGAAGCAGAAACCCTAAGATTCTTCTGGATTCCGGCGATCTTCTGTTGAGTGTCTTTTCTTTCCTCTGCCTCTAAGCGGCCCCCGTGTGAGCTCTTTGCTGCTGCAACAATGGCGACCGTTATGCAGAAGATAAAAGAAATCGAAGATGAGGTACTTTCTCAATTCGTTCCTTTCAAATTTATTCGATCCCCTGGTTCATTTTCATGTTTGGATGCCGAATAAGCGAGTGAGACTTTAATGGGATCGGGAAATCTTTCTCTTCTCAACCCTTTTGTGGTTTCCCAGATTTGCTTGTCTCGAAATGTCTCGACTTGAATCTAAATTTACTTGTCCGTATGTCCTCAGCTATCAGGCTCTGAACAATGGGATTTTTTTTTATAAAATTATGGATAATCCATTATGAGAAATATGAGTATCTGGGTTTTTGTTGATCGCAGATGGCGAGGACCCAGAAGAACAAAGCCACGGCGCATCATCTGGGTTTGCTAAAGGTACAATCTTTTTTTTTTTTTGAATGATATTTCAATTCATGAAATCGAATTTCAGCTAAGGTCGAAGTTATCGGTCGTTTAGTTGTTGAAATCCTTTTTCATATCTCTGAGAGGGAAGGTCAGTGGTTGTTGTTGAGGAACTATACTGAATGATTGATCAACGAGTTACGTCAATGTCATGGAATCTTCCTAGTGATGGTAGAATTGGGATTTAGATTAAAAAGAAGATGTTGAGAACGTTGCATTCTGTTGTCTCACTGACTGCTGCTGTGTTTTTAATCGTTCTTTCGTTTTTCGGTAACAAGAGTTTTTTTTCAAATAGAAATGTAGTATCAGGGCTGTTATTAATTTCTGTGAAGCTGCTTAGCTCAAACAGGTTGGCACTGTACAATTTCCGATATCTGGAAATTTCTTTTACATTAGTTCTTATATGGCAGTTCAACTTTCCATTGGGTGTATTTGTACATTGTGTTTTGGGATCTATTCTTTTGTAATGGATATGAGTTTGTAACTTAGAGAATTTTCCATACTTCTTTTCCTGAACTAGTTGCTACTCTTTCTGTTTGTCATTTCAATGATGTTCTTCATGTCATCGCTCTATTTTGTAGGCTAAACTTGCGAAGTTGCGGAGGGAACTCCTTACCCCAACTTCCAAAGGTGGTGCTGCTGCTGGAGAAGGTTTTGATGTTACGAAAAGTGGAGACGCTAGAGTTGGTCTGGTTGGGTTTCCTTCCGTTGGCAAATCCACGCTCCTAAACAAGTTGACAGGAACGTTTTCTGAGGTATTCAACTGCTGTTGAAGATCTTGCCTTTGGTTTTATTTCCGACATCTAAGACGTTTTAGATTTGGAGTCTTCAATTTCATTAGCAGTTCCTAGTATATTTAGGCCACTGAAATTTGCATTTTTATGATTTTCTGTTGAAGTTTTTTGTGTAAAAAAGGATATGATGATATTTTCAGGCCTTCATTCGGAATTTTAAGTAGGTATAGACCTTACAATATATCCAAATCGTGCTTTATACTTGCTTGTTATCCAACCTATTACTGTAATTTGCAGGTTGCTTCATACGAGTTCACCACATTGACATGCATTCCCGGTGTTATCATGTACCGTGGAGCTAAAATTCAGGTATCAGAATCGCAGACTATATGTATGTATGTATGTATGTATGTATGTATGTATGTATGTATGTATGTATGTATGTATGTATGTATGTATGTATGTATGTATGTATGTATGTATGTATGTATGTATGTATGTATGTATGTATGTATACACATATCGTGGGAATGTTTTACTGATGATGAAATCTGTGGCTTTTCAGTTGTTAGATCTACCCGGTATTATTGAGGGTGCTAAGGATGGAAAGGGTAGAGGACGGCAGGTAAGACCAACGTGCATGCCAGAACTTTCATATTGATGGGTCTGATAACTTTACGTGCTTTTGGTTTCTCTCTACACATTTATTTGCTTATGAATCTAGTCAAGCTTACCAAACTAAGTTGTGTCGCTAATTCCAGGTTATAAGTACTGCGAGGACGTGCAACTGCATCTTAATAGTTCTTGATGCCATAAAACCAATAACTCACAAGCGTCTCATCGAAAAAGAGCTCGAGGGATTTGGAATAAGGTAGTTCACCCATAACCTTGTAAATGTGTATTTTATTGCTAGCGTTTTTTTCAGTCCTGCTTGGTTTTGTGACTGAGCATTTGCTTGAATGAGTAGTTTGACTATTGTCTGGTATTACTTGTGGATCTATTGGATGTTTCTAAACTATAATTTCATGTCTCGATCTCAAACTGAGAATCTGAGACATCCTTATTCTTGCCCATCGATAGGTTACTGGAACAACATTTTCATCGTGGATCTTTTTCAAAGCTTTTTTTTGGGTCTGAACTTAGAATTTGTTCATGTTATTACATATTAGTCATGAACATGAATGTTCAATGTCCTCTCTCTATGCTTCTTTCCTCCCACTTTGTCTTTTTTGAGGGTCATGAATTGATATCATTCATTTCACTGCTTTAGGTTGAACAAGGAGCCTCCAAATCTTACATTCAGGAAGAAAGACAAAGGTGGTATCAATCTTACTTCTACTGTCACTACCACACACCTTGACCTAGACACTGTCAAGGCGATTTGCAGTGAGTACCGGATGCACAATGCTGACATCACCCTTCGGTATGATGCAACTGCTGATGACCTCATTGACGTCATTGAGGGCAGTCGGATATATATGCCTTGTATCTATGTTATCAACAAGATCGATCAAATCACAGTTGAAGAGCTCGAAATTCTGGACAAACTGCCTCACTACTGCCCTATCAGGTGATTTGGTTAATTTGTGAGCAGGTTCTGCAAAGTTATCTGCTTTCCATCTTCCTTCTTTTACATCTATTCCCTCTATCTCCGCTCTATATATGTTTTTACCCCGACCCGTTTTTCCTGCAGTGCTCATCTGGAATGGAACCTGGACGGTCTGCTGGATAAGATATGGGAATATCTTAATCTAACTCGGATTTACACTAAACCTAAGGGAATGAATCCAGATTACGATGATCCCGTTATCTTATCTTCCAAGAGGAGAACCGTTGAGGATTTCTGCACCCGGATTCACAAGGACATGCTTAAACAGTTCAAGTAGTAAGTGGAATTTCTCACGCTGCAACTATTAGTCCTCCTTGTATGCTAAATTAGATGTAAAAAAGCAGCAGCAAGATTAAAACTTCACATTTTCTCATCCGCTTACGAGTATATTCTACTGTGGCAGTGCTCTTGTATGGGGTTCAAGTGCCAAACACAAGCCTCAGAGAGTTGGAAAGGTCAGTCCTTTGATCGGTTCCATAGTTTACAATTCCCCTGCCATCGTCTCTCGCAATTCCCATGTTATTATACTCGGACCGATCCTACTCCGAACAGAACATAACTTATATAATGTATGGAAACACTACAGGAACACGAGCTCGAGGACGAGGATGTGGTTCAAATCGTCAAAAAGGTATGATCTTTGACAAGGACTCGTGATGGGCAGTGCAAAGAAATCGTCTTTTTGCTCGTATCTTGAGAAAGTTTTTCTCGAGCCGGAACAAAAGATCCATAGGTGAAACCTCGAAAGAGGATTTTGTTACTTCCTATGCAGAGACCAGAGACATTTGCTTTCGTCGTTCTCGTTCTACATTTGCATTGTATATCCAAAAAAAACCTCATCTCGTCATGTTGTCGTTTGGACAGAGATTCTCTCTCTTTTTTCAGTTTTGTCATGGCTTTAGATCTTGGGGGTGGTTCTCTTCTCGCGTCTGGTCGTCGTCCTTTAATGGGAATGAATATACGTGATTGATTCTGGTGTTAAGCTTGTCGGACTTTTTTGATGTTTAATTATTTTACGTTCGCATTTTTGTTGTTGTTTCAATATTGAATTATTTTCCACTTCAGAGAGTCGATAGTTCTATTCACCGTGGACGGTCACGATCGTCCTGTCACTAGGATGACGCCACGTGCTCTCGAACCCTTAATCAAGAGATACAGTCTGAGCCGTACACGTGTAAGATGGGCACATGGGTTTAGGAACGGACGAAAGCGAATATCAAAAGCATCCCCCCCTTGGCAGCTTCTGTTTATTATTATTTATTGTTGTGCGTACACTTTTTATAACACGAATCATTACATGTTTCTTTTTTTTTATTTTTTTATTTATTTTGCCATTAACAAACACAATAGTATATGTGGAATCTATTCAAGGCATCTCTTGGTGACTGTGACGTTAAAACCATGCCTCATATGGAGAATGATGGAGGGAACAGGATCAACCCTATGGCCTTCGACGATCTTTATGTCATAGTTCTGTATTATCTTGACGGCTACTGTCTTCATCTGCATGAAAGCCACTTCTTTACCCAGACAAGTTCTCGGACCGGCGTTGAACGACAGGAACTTGAAAGAAGGCTCGTGTCTCAGCCCTCCACGCTCCGAAATCCATCTCTCCGGTCTGAATTCCGATGCGTCTTCCCCCCAGACCGATCTCATCCTCCCCAACGCGTAGAGAGAGAACAAAATCTTTGAGCCTGCGTCAACTCTGTGCCCACTTGGAAGAACGTCTGGTCTTGCGGGAGATTTGTGTTGGAATGGAACTGGTGGGTAGAGCCTCAAGGCTTCGCATAACGCTCCATGGAGATAGACCAACTTGTTTAAATCTGTGGAATCGAGAGAATTCTCGTTACGGTTTTCGGTTCTTGGAAGTTTCGTCCTAATCTCTTGACGAATCTTGGTCACGGCTTCAGGGTTATTGCAGAGAAGCCAGAAGAACCATGTGAGGGCAGAGCCTGTAGTGTCTCTTCCTGCTATCATGAAAGTCAAGATTGTATCTCTCAGGAACTTATCATCTCCGGGATTCAAGAGCTCGTATTTCGTCGTGTCCACGGACATGTAAGACGTCAGCAAATCTTTAGCATCGCCTTTGGAATGGATCCCTAAGCTTATCTCTTCTCTTTTGGTGGATATGTACTTTGCACAAAGACGATCGAAAGTGGCCTGAGCTCTTCTCATCTTCTTCTCGACGCCGAGACCGACATAGTTTTGCAGTTTCCACACGAATTCCGGCTTTATATGTCTGAAGAAAATCGCTTCTTCAGCGTCATCCAAAGCTTTAGCAAACTCGATCTCTGGCATCTCGAGAGAAAGGCATCCAGGATCATACCCGGTCATCAAAATGAACGTGGTATCGAACGTGAATCTTTGGAACACGTCTTGCAAATCCACAACAATATCGTGCCCTGAGACATGATCAAGAAGAGGTAAAAGCCCTTTTTCCAACTTGCTAATGCTCGTACGTACCGTAAACGTCTGAAAATCTTGGTGATTGAACATGGTCTGAGCCGATTTTCTCAGATCCTTCCACAGATCCGAGTCCACGTTGAATATCCCGTCTCCCAAGACGTCGAAGATCTTCTTGAACTCGTGCCCTTTCGGGTAATTCTTGAAATTCGAACTCATTATGTGGTGGATATTGGCAGGATCAACAGTGACCAGCAAGTCCATACCGGCAAGCCAAGGTCCCTTGAACAGAAACGTCAAGTTAGAGGCCTCGAGAACATCCACGCTCCAATCATAGACACGAGGAATTTGCACGACCAAACTCGGAAGCATGCCGAGAATCGGCCAGTTCGTGAGCACATCACGATTAGATTTCTTGAACAGCAAAAAACCGAAGATGAGAAAGCAAATGAATGCAATGGATGCTTCAAGAAACCCTAAGAAAGCCATTAGACAAATATTTTTTCTTATACTCAGAGAGACATATATGATAAGGAGCTCGATTCTGGTTTCCTTATATATATATATATATGTGTGTGTGTGTAAAAGAGAAAGTCTTTCGGTTTGGTACGTAGTCCTTGTCCTAAACCCAATCTTCATCGATTGTCTTATCATTGGGGATATGTTTTGGCTTTGTTAAGCGTCCGTTAGTTTATCTTCTGTCTTTCGCCGTTAACACTCACGGCTCTGTTTGTTCTTCGTTTTTTGATTCCGGGTTTGCAATATATATGCTTGAACTCATTTTACGTTGTGAATATATATATATATATAAGTCTGTTCCAATAAAACTTCTCTCTTGATTTCTATTTCGTTGTTGGATAAGAGCATTCTTTCTAGGAACATGTGAGTTATAGATTAAACCGAACATTTATAATAATTAAGAAACGAACTAAAAACAAATAAATCTGAATTTGAACAGGAAAAAAAAGATAACTTATAATTTCACAGGTTTTTATGAAGGATAGAAGTATGACTCGGTTCTTCGGAACCGAACCGAACCGATCCGTTAAAACGGTATTTTTTCCGACCCGAAACCGCTGTTATTTTCCGAACGGTACCATTTTTAGATAACCGAATTTTTCCGTAATCGAACCGAACCGAACCGAACTTTAAAAATCCCGAAAAACCGAATACTTTTAAAGGAAATCTAACATTTTTTTAATAAAATCCGGAACCGAACCGAACCGATACCAAAACCGAAATCAAACCGAACCGAATACAATAAAAAACCCGATTGGTACATATTTTTGTAAAACTGAAAGAACCGAACCGATCCATTCCGAACCGTTTCCCGAAACGTCCACCCTCCTTAGACCTATTTACATCTAAATATGGACCGATCGAGGCCCCACGAGGAAAGGACGAAAGAGAAGCTGCACATTCACGCTCCTCTGAAGCGCGCGTGGCATGCACTTCCCGAACACGGATCATGTGAATAATATAAGAAGAACCCCCTTAGCAGCTTCTCACTGCTTAATTAGTACATTTTGATACATAAACAATTACATATTCCTTTATAATAAAATATTTCGTTTTGCCATTATCAAACGCATAGCGTATGTGGAATCTATTGAAAGGATCTCTTGATGATTATGACATTAAAACCATGCTTCATATGAACAATGATGGAGCGGGATCAACCCTATGGCCTTCGACGATCTTTATATCATAGTTTTGTATTATCTTGACGGCCACCGTCTTCATCTGCATGAAAGCCACTTCTTTACCCAGACAAGTTCTCGGACCGGCGTTGAACGACAAGAACTTGAAAGAAGGCTCGTGTCTCAGCCCTCCACTGTCGGAAATCTATCTCTCCGGTCTGAATTCTGATGCGTCTTCTCCCCACACGGATCTCATCCTCCCCAACGCGTAGAGAGAGAACGGAATCTTTGAGCCTGCGTCAACTCTGTGCCCACTTGGAAGTACATCTTGTTTTGTAGGAGCCTTAACTTGGAACGGAACTGGCGGGTAGAGCCTCAAGGCTTCGCTTAACGATCCATGCAGAAACTTGTTTAAATCCGTGGAATCGAGAGAATTCTGGTTACTGGTTTCGGTTCTTGGAAGTTTTGTCTATGTTCATATAAGACGTAAGCAAATCTTTGGCCTCTCCTTTCGAATGAATCCCTCCCTCCCCTTATCTCTTCTCTTTTGGTGGATATGTACTTTGCACATATGCGATCGAAAGTGGCATGAGCTCTTCTCATCTTCTTCTCGACGCCGAGACCGACATCGTTTGCAGTTTCCATACGAATTCCGGCTTTATATATCTGAAGAAAATCGCTTCTTCAGCATCATCCAATGCTTTAGCAAACTCAATCGATCTCTGGCATCTCGACAGAAAGACATCCAGGATCATAGCCGGTTGTCAGAATTAAAGTGGTATCGAACGTGAACCTTTGGAGAACACATCTTGCAAATCCACGACCGTCTTTTCCTCTGCAACATGATCAAGAAGAGGAACAAGCCCTTTTTCCAGCTTGCTAATGCTGGTGCTTACAGTAAACCTCTGAAAATCTTGGTGATTGACCATGCTTTGAGCCGATTTCCTCAGATCCTTCCAAAGCTCGGAATCCTCGTTGAAACATCGAGGATCTTCTTGTACTGGGCCCTTTGGCGTAAATCTTGAAATTTGAACTCATTACGTGGTACTTAGCCATTGTCCTAAAGCAACAAGCTCCATTGAATGTCTCAACGTCCTAAAGCAGCAAGATTCAATGCGTTTCTTACCAAAATTAGAAGCAGATATTGATAGTTTCCCCATTTTTTTTTTGACGGGGGTCTATGTATTTTGCTTATTTGATTCATCGAATTATCCTAATTAATATTTACGTTACGTGTACTTTTAAGAATAAAACAGTTAAATTCATCATTTATTAATACATGAATAAATCGAAACACTAGGATTAGATGGTTACCTGATCGATATATATATATATATATATATATATATATATCCTATAATTTGGTAAGAAAACAAAAACAAAAACAGAAACTCAGATTTGAAAAATATCTTGTCGACCGCCTAACTTGTAATAAGTATAAATGTAACTCATTTGCATGTGATCAATATGCACTACCACGATTTTACAAATATATATATATATATATATATATTAGAGCCATCTTACAGCTAGGGGGTAAAACGTGTCGACCCAGTCCAACCCAACCCGACTCGTTCTGATTTGAAATTTTTTTTGCCCAATCCAGTCCAATCCGTTTTTTAGCGAATCAAATATATAAATTTTAATACTAATAAATATTTAAAACTAATTTTAATATTTAAAAAATATTTAAAATATAATTAAAAAATAAAACTTTAAACAAAAACAAACTAAATATGTAATAAAAATATAATTTATATAGAAAAATATTTTAAAATATATAAAAATATTAAACTTTAAAAAAAATATTTTTTTTGGGCCCGCAAACAGCCCGACTCGTGGCGAGTTAGCTCGTTTGGTCCAGTTTTTTCTGGATTCAAATATTTTGAGTCCACCTCAAAAAAATATGTGTCGGCTCATGAGTCGACCCTCGATCCACGGCTCGTTTTACATCTCTACTTACAGCACGTACGGAACATTTGCATAGGACCCGCAACTTGTAAATTATAAATATAAAAAATTATTATATTTATAATTTACAAGTAATATTTATTAAAAAATTAAAATAGTAACTTTTTTAAGTTTTGTTAAATCACTTAAAAATATTTTTTCGATACTTTTTCAAATGAGGTGGACCTCTATTTTAAAAAAAATAAGTTTTTTTTTATAAATTTATAGTATTTAATATAAAATTAAGACCATTTTTCCAACATTGATCATTTGTCATAATAATCAATTAATAAATATTTTGAGTTATATATAATCACCATATATTAAATTCATAATTTATTTATATTTATATCATTAAATTTAATAATTAATATAGTTTATAATTATAATTTTTTTATAAATCTAAAATAGAATCTATATTATTCTAGAATAACATTGATCTTTTAATTCCAATTATTTTAAAAATTATTTTTTTATATCATATAATTTATTTTTAATATTTATTTTAAAAAAGATAAATCTTTTAAATATAGTTTTTTACATCTTTGAATCATATATTATGATTATTTATTATTTCTAATAATATTATTATTATTATCACAATTATTGTTATTAATATTTTAATAATATTTATTAAAAATTATATTTAATTTTTTAGAATTATAATTAAAATTTAAAATTAAAATAAATAATTTTTTATATATATATATATAATTCAACAGTGAAATCAACATTTTCGGTTGTGGATTCTTTGACAAGCAATGAATCCTTCAACTTTAGGAAAGACATGCATTCATTACATACAAAGATATATAAAGGCACATGACTCAACTTACGTATACAATCACTGAAATATTTATTTCATTACACACTTTTAGGGCAAACATCTCTTACGTACGAAGACCTTGAAGCCATGTTTCATGCGGAGAATAACGGAAGGAACTAACTCCACTCGTTGACCATCAACGGCTGTAATGTCATAATTCTGCAAGATCTCGACCGCCACTATCGCCATATGCGTTAGAGCCACTTGCTTACCTATACAAGTCCTCGGACCGGCGTTGAACGAAGCGAACTTGAAGGAAGGTTCGTGTCTCAAAACTCCGCTGTCGGAAATCCATCTCTCGGGTTTGAATTCCGACGCGTCCTCTCCCCATACCGATTTCATCCTCGCCAACGCGTAAAAGGCCAAAACAATCTTCGCGTTCGCATCCACTCTATGCCCACTCGGTAGGACATCTTCTCTCGCAGGAGACTTGTGGTTAAATGGAACAGGTGGGTATAGCCTCAGTGATTCGTATATTGCACCGTATAAATACACCAGCTTGTTCAAATCCACTTGGTCGAACCAGTTTACGGATCTTTCAAACGTTGCCTCGATCTCTCCTCGGATCTTTGTCACTGCCTTAGGGTTCTTGGAGAGAAGGAAGAAGAACCAAGTGAGGCCGGCGCTTGTGGTGTCTCTCCCCGCCAGAATGAAGGTCAACATGCTGTCCCTGAGAAATTTATCGTCATTAGGGTTTAGCAACTCGTATTTGTTCTTATCTATATTCATATAATAAGTCAACAGATCCATTGCTTCTCCTTCTGAGCGATCTCCTCGACGTATCTCCTCTCTTTTAGCAGAGATATAGTTTGCGCATGCACGATCTCCGACCGCGACCGCGTCCCTCAACTTCTTCTCAAACCCAAACCCTAGCCAGCTCTGCAACTTCCAGAAGATCCTCGGCCTGAAATGCCTATGGAAAATAGCTTCCTCGGCATCCTCCACAGCAATGGCGAGCTCGACATGCGGCATATCCATGGACAGACTCTTTGGATCGTACCCAGTCACCAGAGTTAGGGTTGTGTCGAAGGTGAATCTCTGGAACACATCTTGCAAGTCCACGACCGTGTCTGTCTTGTCGGCATGGTCAAGAACAGGCAAGAGCCGGTTCTTGACAACACCAACGGTCGTGCTCTTGGTGAACCCTTGGAAATCTTGACGGCTGAGCAAGGCGTGAGCCGATTTCCTTAGATCCTTCCACAAATCGAAATCCGCGTTGAATATGCCGTCCCCCAAAGGTTCGAAGATATCTCGGAAATCGGGTCCTTTCGGGTAATTTACGAAGTTGGAACTGAGAATGTGATTGATATTCGCCGGATCGACGGTGAATAACAAATCGGACCGGGTGAACCACGGACCCTTGAAATGGAACGTCAGGCCGGTAGCTTCGAGAATTTCCACGATCCAGTCGTAAAAGCGCGGGGTTTCGACGATCAAACCTGGAAGCATTCCAAGAAACGGCCAGTTCGTGAGAGTTTTCTTGCGTAGCAAGAAACTGAAGATGAAGAAGATGACGAACGCAATGGAGATTTCAAGAAAGCCTTTCAAGGCCATGTCGCAAAAGTTTTTAATTTTTTTTTTTGCGGTATGAAATATAGAGATACAAAATGATCTAGGTTTTCTTGTTGGTATTATATATATAGAGAAACTAATTCGATTTTTTTTTATAATCCACCCGAGTGCGAAGTCGGTCTTTAGTTACGTAATTAATTGCGTCCCTTTCTAGTTGATCATTTCGGTTATTAACTGAATAACCGAATTGAATATCAGCGGTTCGGTTCGGGTTCGATTCGATTCGATTAATGACTGAATAACCGTGGTTAACAGAATGATTATTATATTTTTTTAATATTTTAACTTTTACCCTAATTGTTTTATAAGCGTCATTCTTTTACACTTCACTTTTACCTATGTTTCACCAAATTAACCATTAATGTTTTTAACTTTTATCAAGTATATTTTTTGTAACTCTTTTGGAGAATTAATCATTTTATAGATTTATTTGGATAAATATTTTGAAGTTTGTAGAGAATTAATATTCTTTCTTTTTTAAATATATCATAACCGAACTGAATCCATCTAAAACTGAACCGAGTAAACCGATAAAATTTAACCGTTTAGTTATAATTTTATTATGTAAAAACTTTAATCGAATCATTCCGATTAAATCTATATATCCGTTTGGGTATGATTTCTTTGTAATCGAAATAATCGAATCCGAAATAATCGAACCAAAATCCGAAATCACAATTCCTATTTCCTACCCACTAATGAAATCGAATTTAGAACTTCGAATTGACTTTGTCAACTCTCAACGACCACCAATGTTTTTTCATTTTTAAATAATTGACTCCTCCCGATTCTTACTTTTTTTTTTAAAAAAAAAATTTGTGTCTGAATGTGACATGTATAAAACACAATGGCAAGTTCACCTTCAGATGGTACCAATCTATAAAATTATTAGTTTTTTTTTTTACTTTTTTTACTCCTAAAAATTACAATGACCGTTTTGCCTTTCTCCAACTCCAAGCAATGTCATCTCATTATACACGTCCAATCTAAAAAAAACTCACCAAAACGTATGAAAATGGGTAGAAAATAAAAAAAAAATTGATACGACATAAATTTGGATAGTTCAACTACTGAAAACGGGGTTAAATGGTTTATTCCATCTCGGGTTCGATTTCCAAGTTTAGAAGAAAAAAAACATGCACCCGAGTTTTCTGACCATTTAGAATATTTAATCTGGAACTTAGTTTAAAAATATCCGGTTAACAAAAAAACGTGACACAAACGTTTCTTTTTTCTCATGTCGGAATTTACAATATTATAACAGTAATAATAAAAAATCTGCAGCTTCATAAGGTTAAATCACGTGTGCGTATATAATATATATGTAGTAGTGTTTTGGCAAAAATATTGCAGATTATATAATATTTTAAAACAAAGCATAAGATTCCATGGGGAAAAAAGAGAGAGAGGTGTTGATTAAGTGCGATGCAACAACCAAGCTAACCACTACATTTATTTTTGTCGGTTTATACAAATCATATAAATGGAATAAAACCAGCGAGGCAAGTACTTGTGACGAAAATGGAAAACGAAACCCATCTTACCATATGCGCAATCTAATTTCGTTTCGCCAAAAATGCACCTTAAACGGCTTTAAGCATAACGACGGTCCATAAATACTTATTCAACTACATGGTGCCACCGACACGATTAACGTGATTACTGTTGCTAACATGATTTTTCGGAATAATTTTGCTCGCTATCATCTCCATAATCGAAAATCAACGAGATTACTATGATTATTTTAATGTAATCTTTGACTTAGAGGTGTTTTTTGACTTCGAATTACGTCTTCCGTGACGTGGGCCAGCTAATTGTATAGGTAATTACATAATTATTGTAGAAGAAAATTAGTTAACTAATCCCGTGCGAATTCAGATATTGTTGTCAAAATAAAAGAAAAAAATCCTATAAAAATACCCCATTTTTACCTAAAAAAATATATCAATTTTTAATTTGATAAATAAATACATCAAATATATTTTATAAATATTGAAATGTGGCCCAAAAAAAATTATCTCAACTCGCAATTTTTTACCCATCGATGATAACGTTAAGAGTAGAATATGAAATTTCTTTCCATTAAATTCCGTTAAAATCTTTAACAATTTGAGTAGAATTATCGGCGGTATAATTAAAGATTGTGTATGAAACTACTTTCGATTCGAAGAGTTTATGTATTTTTGGCATATTTCAATATTTAGGTGTATTCATATATCAAATTAAAAGTTTGGTAAATTTTATAAATTTTTGTGAGATTTTTCTTTTTTAAAATTTCTTTAAAAATGAACCATCTTTTAACTGTCAAAATAACATAACTTCAAATATGAATTTAAAAGAGCATTTTTACGGAAGTTTTAAAAAAAATATTTTTTATTACTTACTAAAAAAAAGAAGTTATTCCACCTAAGTTCTAGGTTTGGGGTTGGTCCAATTAAGTAAAGCCTACTCTGGGCCTTATGGGAAAAAAATGTCGAATATATCATTTATATTGAGTTTATTATGTTCATTAATCGCGGTCCATATACATTATACAGCCCATATAATATATTATTATCATGGTGCTTTATAAAGCACATTGCAATTTCGACCACACACTAACAACGGATGGTGGTGCGGCCTCAATTGACGTACTAATGGGCCGGACCGTAATTAGCAAGCCCAAAGCCCATTTTTGTTGGGCCTTTTTATATACATACGTATATATGTATGTATACATGCATCATATATATATATATACATCATATATATATATATATATATATGTATGGAGAAATAATACCAGTGACAGCTGTACAACCTGTCAACGACCAACAAAAGAGGGCTTAGTGAAGGCGAGCACGATCTGGACGATATCTTATCGCTAAATGTCAACGACGCTAACCCCCATTTTCTTTTTTCTTTTTTTAAAAAAAAAATTAAAACTCACTTATTTTATCCGTTTACAAATTCCACGCATATTTGTGTGTGTTTTGTAATAATAATTAATCATTTACAAGAAAGGTTCAACTGTAGTTTGTCGAAGAAAAATAATCAGAGACCACAAAAATGCTCTTAGTACGATAAAAAGATAGACATAGATCACCCGATTTGGGTAGTTCAACCGGTGAAATAGGGGTGCAAAACGTCTGTCCCGGCCCGAGTTCGAACCCCAGACTGGAGAGAGAGCGCATAATTCAAATCACATGGCTGGCTCCCGATCCCGAGATTAGTCTGGACCTCGGCCTAGGAAACCCGGATACCAAAAAAAAAAAGATAGACATAGATCTGTCGTTTAGCAGAATTTTATATTTGTATTCGTGTGTGCATTTTAGGAAATACAAGTGCAGACATGAACCAAGTCTCGGATTCTATTTTTTTTTCCTTAAAAAGATATTAAAATAAAAAAGGGGGAGTGTGTGTAGGATTCGGATTTGGATTCGCTGGCTGCTCTTAACGATTTAGCTTTTGGATGAAAAAAAAAAAAGGATTCACATGGCTTTGCCCCTCCCATCACCCAGAAATTAACACAGCAACGCATGAAAACGACTCTCAACTCCTTCAATATCTCTTCCTCTTCTTCTTCTCTGTCTGGATCTTGTAAGAATCAAAAACCAGAGATAAACTTTTTTTTTTTTCTGGAAGAACCCAGAAAGATTCCCTTTTTTGTTTTTTTTGGGGGGGTTTGTTTTCAGGGCAATGGAATCTCTCAAGAACAGAACATTGCTTAAGGTTATTGTCCTCGGCGACAGCGGGTAAAGCTTTGTTCTCTTTCTCGGATTTTCAAGATCTTAAAACTTTTTCCGTTTATAACTTTCTTCTGGGTATCGATCTAAATCGAGGGTTACCCTTTGATTTCTGGAAACTTTTCGATTTTTTTTTGTCATCGATCTGTCTGCAGGGTGGGGAAGACATCTCTGATGAATCAGTATCCTCTAATCGCTGAAACTGTTTCGAAGATTTTCCCTGTCGTCTCATCTTGATTTCCCAAACATTTCGATTCACCGTTTTCCTGCTTTCGATGTTTACTATCCATTGTCTGCATTGATGTTTGGTTCTGGGCTGCAGACATTGCTCCCTCCTCCCTTTTCTATTACCTCTGTAAAACCCTAACTTGTGACCCAAGATACGTCTACAACAAGTTCAACCGACAATACAAAGCCACGATCGGTGCTGATTTTGTCACTAAGGAGTTGCATGTAGGAGAAAAACCGGTCACCCTTCAGGTAAAACGGCCATTCTCGCTTCTTAGTTTTCTGACATTTGGATCTCCAGAGGACATTACAGCAACAACTTATGAACCCATTCGAATGTTGAAACAACAGATCTGGGACACTGCAGGGCAAGAAAGGTTCCATAGCTTAGGATCCGCGTTTTACAGAGGAGCCGATTGCTGTGTTCTTATTTACGACGTGAATGCCCTCAAGACGTTCGAGTCTCTCAACAACTGGCACGACGAATTCCTCAAGCAGGTCTGTCTCCCGAGCTTTCCGGGTTCATAATCGTTTCTTGCGTTCTAAGTCATAGTCGTTGCCGGTCTTAACAGGCGAATCCCGTCGAGCCCGAGACCTTTCCCTTCGTTTTGATCGGGAACAAGATCGATATAGACGGTGGAAACAGTCGAGTGGTATCACTCAAAGAACTAATCTATGACACGAAATCTCTGAACTTGATCATGTTCTGGTTTTGGATCGAAATGATGATCAAGAACTCCGAGAATTTCCTTCCAGGTTGCAGATAAGAGAGCTACGGAATGGTGCGGATCAAAGGGAGGCATTCCATACTACGAGACATCGGCCAAGGAGAATATGAATGTGGACGAAGCTTTCCTGGGAATTGCCCACAAAGCTCTTTCCAACGAGCGTCAACAAGACAACATGTGAGAGAGCGATAGCTCTGTCTGATCTCCGATCCAATAATGGGATTCTTCTGTTTTTTTTTTAAAATAAATTTTCTTTAAACCTTTTTTTTTTTTGGTGCAGTTATTTCAGAGACATGTCTGAATCTGTGTCAGAAGCGATAGAGCAAAGAGGAGGAGGAGGAGGAGGAGGTTGTGCTTGCTGAATCATATTGTCTGATCCAAAACCCCACTGGATTCTGTTCTAATATCACTGTTTTATTTTGCCCCTCTTTTGTCTTTATTTTGTTGCATTTTTTATTTTTATTTATAGGATTGCGTTTTTTTTCCTCCTAAATTTCAATGTGTTCTCTGATGTTATTGACTCGTGTATAGCATTTTATATCTTATAATTTCTTCATGTTTCTAAGAAAAATAGTGCTCAGAAATTCAAAATTAATGAAAAAATAAAACAAATTTTTTTTATTTATAAAAAAAAAACGGAACATGTCAAAGCCCATGTTAGTTGGATTCGAACTGAATTAATTTCTCACTTACTTCGGTCCGTAAAGCCCGTTAGCAAGAAATCATTCTTCTTTACTTAAGAATCCTGGCCCAATTCGAGTCCGGCCCAAACACGGACCGGACCGGACCGGCCCGGACCGAATCCCCAGAATCTTCAGTCAAATTCAAAGAAGGAAAAAATAAGAAATCACCATTCAGATCATTTCACTCCTTGAGGCAAATCTTAAAACTGCTGGGTCGCTCAGATAAGGGATTCTCAAAATCAGCACGAACCCTAATCTCCTGAAACCAGAGAAATCCGATAAGAGGATATGGCGCTCGCTTCTCGTTTCCTCTCCAGATCCAAGCAGGTTTGTTTTTATCTCGCTCGATCTCCCTTGATTCCCCGATTTTGTTTCACTTCCTGTTTCTTTTTGTCTCGTCGTTGTTCTCCGATTATTGGGATCAAGTCATGATCGGAGTGGAATGATGGATTTTTGGGACGGAATTGCGTCGATTTTGTCAGTGGGTGTTTGGCATTTTCGAGCTGTGCGTCTTAGATGCTGATTTTTTTAGCTAATTGGTAATGCAATGTTGATTTCCCGGAAAAAATCGAATGATGTCTTGTAATGTTATACGGTGGCTATGGAGGGTTTTCCTGTGATTTTTATTCTTTTCCGAGCTGCCAATGAATTCACCTAAGTAGCATTATCCGAAAATTATGAGTGTAACCGGTGAAAAGATTATACCTTTATCAGCCGATAAGCGATATTCCATGTTAATGCTTGGTAACAGACAATCAAAAGTCTATCCTTTTTTCTGGTCGGGCACTCTGAATTGTTGTTGTCCGTTCTCAGTATGAGTTGCTGGCTGTCCTTTTGATATGCTTATTCTCATATTCAGCTTCTTACCCTACTGTGATTATGCAGATCCATGGCAGTCTGGTCGCCTTGCAGCAGAACCATGCCATTCCAGTCCGTTCCTTTGCCAAAGAAGCTGCCCGTCCTACTTTTAAAGGAGATGGTAGGTGGATAAACCTTAGATTAATTGATTTGCTAGAACATTATGATTGTTATTTTGTTTATATTCATCATTACTTTCTGAAATAAATTCCCTTGCATTTCGCGTCTGAATGTTCTCATGGCTGCCAATGAATTTTGTGTATATTTATAATGCTAGAACATTATGAGTGTTGTCTGCTTTCTTATGTTTAATCCTGTATGCTTTTGTCAATGCAAGAAAATTTCAGTCATTTCTTTGAATGTTAATTGTGTAGAGAAGATGATCCAATAAAATAAAAAGTAATTCTTTGCAAGGTAATTATAAAAGCCTCCGGTGATGATTTATCTGTGACTGAGGTTCTATCCTTGGGAGGAGTTGGGTCATCTCTTACTTTCTTCTATTGGAAAATCATTGTTATTCACTTGCTCATTGAGTGATGTATTTTGTTCATTGTGCTGTTGTATCTTTTAGTATTTGTTCATATCGATCTGAGAATGCTGTGTTTTTACATGTATTGATGAATAATGTATGCATGCTTAAAATAGAGATGTTGAAGGAGGTCTTCATGGAGATCAAGACCAAATATAATGCTGCGGTTGATGTTCTTCGTAAGGAAAAGATCACCATTGATCCAGATGATGCAGCTGCTGTACGGCAGTATGCAAATGTCATGAAGACAATCAGACAAAAGTAGGATTCTTGTTTCTGTTCAGCTTTAAATGTTTCTTGTTCTCTCATCGTGTGATTTCAATTCTTCGTTTCAATTTCAATTTTCCGTAGACTACAGTGACGCAAGGGTTATTATTTTACTTTAGTTGATTTGGTTGCTTCTTATGACTTATCCCGGAGTGCAGGGCAGACATGTTCTCAGAATCTCAACGGATTCAGTATGATATTGAGACTGAGACTAAGGAGATTCCAGATGTTCGTGAGTACTTGTTGAAGTTGCAAGAAATTCGTGAGGGGTAAGTCACACTTTTTGAGGTTTTTCGTTGCCAGAGAAGTTGAGCTCATCTTTTACTCTATTGAGCTTGGCAGTAAAATAGATTCTCTATTAGAAAATATCATGTCCGGTAATATCTCAAGTTTGATCGTGGAAAAAATGTCCTAATGTTGAATGTCTCTTCATTTCTTTTCCTCCATCATCGGTTGTTGTTTGAACATATTACAGTTGTTAACTTTGACTTGTCACTTTTCTATCTGGTATATTTTCTACAGGAGGGGCCTTACCGATGAGCTTGGTGCTGAGGCTATGATGTTTGAGGCTCTTGACAAAGTCGAAAAGGAGATAAAAAAGCCTCTTATGAGGGACGATAAGAAAGGAATGGCTCTTTTGATGGCAGAATTCGACAAGGTCAACAAGAAGTAAGCATTACTCCCGCCCATAGGTTATTTGTTGTTGTAGCTGGTGAGCCGTGATGATTCTGCTCATGCTTGATTAGGATTACAAATTGAAAATTGCAAAACCTCATCCATAAGATGATCAGTATATGCTTACATATTTTACTCAAACTCACTTTGGGTATAGCTTTTGCTATTGTTAGCTTACATTCCCACCCACTCATCTAGATGTCAATGGTCGACATGATTTGCAAGTGATTGAACTGTTCTGACAAAAGCTTGATCTTTGAGTAACATTTCCGACATCCTGTCTGGACAGGCTTGGAATCGGGAGGGAAGATCTTCCAAAATACGAGGAAGAGCTGGAGCTCAAAATTGCCAAAGCACAGTTGGAGGAACTGAAGAGTGATGCCCTTGAAGCCATGGAAGCTCAGAAAAAGAAGTGAGTTCACAACCTTTTCTCAATCTACACATTGTTTGACCTCCACGAATTCATGTCAACACCTCTATTGACATCTTCCCTTCTAAAAAATGAAATAAAATTCAGGGAGGAATTCCAAGACGAGGCCATGCCCGAAGTGAAGTCTTTGGACATCCGTAACTTCATATGAAGTTTTAATAACTTAAGCTGTTGTCTCTCTCAGATTCAGAAGGTTTACCTTCTACTCTTTTGATTTGGTAATGAATAAGGTTACTTACCTTGGGGGGAACACACTGTTTTTTGACACTCCAATCTGCATATTGAGTTGTTCTCTTTTGACAGATGACAGTTTCGGTGCAATGGAAAAACAAAGGCCTGTATTTTGATGTGTCATTAACGTGGTTCTTCTTTTGAGTTTGCTTAAAAGAACATGAACTCAATCGTTTATCTAAGCGCCCCTTCTGACATAGTTCATGTCTGGCTGTAAGTGAAAGCTTTTCGGATTTAAGAAAATCTAAGCAGATGATGAGATCTGAATCGGAAAAGTATCTCATTTTTTTTTAAGGAGTAACACATTTGCGATTACTGGAATGAAAAGTGGTGATCAAATTTAAGATTTTCACAAAAAAGATGACGTCGGGATTGAATTCATTTACCGACTGGCAACAGTAGAGGAATGTCTTAAAAAGTTTTCTGAGGCTCGCCTTCGGGTTTTATGGTGTGGCTTAAACCCTCCATTTCGGTGCTTTTGCTCCTAATCCTCAAGGATGGTTTCAGCTCAAGTACTGTCGCTCGTTTCTCCGACCAAGGTTCATGTTCGCTGTGATTCGTCGATTCGCCCGTCGGAAGCTCCGGTTTTAACCTCGACCCTCTTTCAGAATCAGGTTGAATTTCGGACCCTTTTGAGAAATTCCCGATCTTTCGCTCCGAAACTCGCCCGAACCAACAATCGGCCTTTGCCCGTTTCGTCCCTCCCTCTCCAACGCTCTTCGCCTTCCTCTCGTGAGAATTTCGTTCAGGTTTTCGCGAGAAAGGCCGCTGTTTTCCTCGTCGGGTCGTTTGTTTTCCTAGGGTTATGTTCCTGCAAACCGGGCTTGGCACTACCCTCGGCGACAGTGAGATCTGAGACGGAGTACGAGGAAGAAGAAATGTTCGAGAAGGTTCTGGAGAGAGAACCGAATAACATGGAGGCCATGAAGGTGGTTGTGTACGGGAAGATGAGGAGAGGGAAGACAGCAGAAGCTGTGAAGTATATAAAGAAGCTGAAGCGAATCCAGCCTCAGGAAACCGAGTGGAAGCTTCTGGAAGCGCTTTGCTATGAGATGATGGGGCAACTGACCAAGGCGAAGAGGCTTTTCAGTGATGTTCTCAAAGAAAACCCTCTTTTGATCAGAGCTCTGCACGTATGTTCTTCTAAAGCCATAGTCTTTACCATTGTGTATGTTAGGTTTTTCTCTGTTGATGATTTTTAGATTGAATGAACAGTCACCATGAAAGTTTGGGTCTTGTTTTAGCATTGGTAGGTATTTCTTTACATGGTAGCTGCTTAGGAATCTTTCCTGCTGGTTTCTGGTGAAAGATTAGGTTATATAACGAATCTGTTCTTCCTCTCTTCTGGGTAGGGTCTTGCCATGGTAATGCACAAAAGCCATGAAGGCTCTGCTGTCTTTGACATGCTTAATGAGGCTCTGGAAGTTGCTCGGCAAGAGCAAAGAGTAACTGAGGAGAGAAACATACAAGTCTTGATCGGGCAGATGCATATCGTAATGGTAAAACCTCGATCTTTTTCACATTCAATAACGCAGTTCACCCGTAACGAGAAGCAGACTCAGTTTTCAGTTCAATATCCATGGTAAGGTAGAGATATACAAACAATGGCTCAAATGGATATCGGTTTTAACCATAGGGTCAATTGGAGGCGGGTCTGAAGATATTCCGAGAAATGGTGGATGAGAACCCGAGAGATTTCCGGCCTTATCTTTGCCAGGTACTGTATTTTGTTGGGGGTTTTATGCCGATCAATGGTGGAAATGCCCATTGCCTTAAAAGAAGCTTTTTGGCACTTGAACAAGCTGCAGGGTATAATTTACAGCTTAATGGATAAGGAGGAGGAAGCAGAGCAGCAGTTTGAGATATACTGGAGCCTTGTTCCAGAAGAATTTCCCGAAAGGGGATTTCTAGACGATGTTGCAATGGCCGCTCAAGCCAAATCCCGAGAACGACTCCAAAATTCGTTTAGAGCTAAATCTGCTTACGGGAATTAGGCCACTGATAACATTTTTGAATCGTAATCTCGGTTTGAGTTCTTCTCTTCATCTACCATCAATCAATTACATCTTCTGAATATGCTGTCATACTTTCGAGCAGCATCAGTTGAATCTCGTGTTGCAGATACATATGTTCATCGCCGAATCTTCGGGAAGAACTATGGATCCGAGAAGGTAATGAGGCGAGATCACGAATGATCTTCAAGTTGCCCATGGATTTCTGCTGACAGTCTCTCTCTGTATAAACTGTGTTTGCAAGTGTTGAAGAACCAAGGACAGCTTCTCTTCTCAGGCAAAAAAAAAACAATAGGAAATCTCTGTTTTTACGTAGGGGTGAGCATTATAGAATCGAAAAATGTGATAATTTTTTCTAACGAATCCTACGAAATTTCCGAACGGTATTTTTTTAGAAAACTGAATTTTTTAGAATCAAAACGATCTAAACCGAATATAAAATAATAACCAATTACTATATACTTTTGTAAAATCATACGATTCATTTTCGAATTGAATCGGATAGAGAAACGTCCCTCCATTTTTATGTATTGAAAAAAAAAACTTTTTCTGCTCTGTGTATAATGTATATACACTAATTCTTAAACTAATCTTTTGAGGATTATCCATTGTTTCTATTTTTTTTTTAAATGCAATTTTTTAAATGTAAATTTGGATTTTGTAGTTTACCTTCGACCAACCAGAACTGAACACCTGGCACACGATTTTCTTATTGGATAAATTTGAAATGTAGACCCACAATTCTTTGAACAAAGTGAGCAAGAAGAGAATGAAACCATTGATTGAACATGTGTCGTGTTCGAACATCTTGCCTCTTGGCCTTGGAATAAACTTTTTATGTGAAAATTATATATATATATATATATATATATATAACGATGAACATATATATCTTTAGCCATCCATGACAAAAATCCACTGATCGTGTGAATTCTTCTTCTTTTTTTTGATAATTGGTCACTCGAAGAATCGAACCGGGGGTGGTAGGTGACTTATCATCTCCACTTCTACTACCTGCTCTGCCCTTTCCGGGTTTAAAAATTTGGGCCATTTCTTGATTTATACATGTCATCTTTGCGTAGGGGTCATACTAATCTTCTCTATATCGTTTCAATTTTATCAGATGTCCCCGAAAGGACGTGTGAATTCTTCTTCTTGGCCTTGAAATAAACTTTTTATGTGAATATATATATATAGATATATAGAATTTTCTTTTATAACGATGATATTTTCATATATTTGCTCAGATATAATATCTTCTCGTTAGATCAAGAACATATATGTAGAATGTGTGTTTTATACGCATGTTTTATCCATGCTCGGGTGGATAGCTTTTGATATCAAGCATTTAAATCTATTTATTTGGATTTATTTGCTCGCTTATTAATTTGAATTTGGGTGAATGGTGATAGTTTTTCCTTTGGAGTTTTTTTTCCTCATAATTTTTACAATTTTTATAAAGTTAAAAATCCAACAAAAAAAAAATAGGTTTATGGTTTTTACTTGATTTTTTCAATAAAATGGTTTTACTGTTCTTTAAGAAAAACAAATATATAAAATTTTGATTGAATTTTTATTTTGATTTGTAGATTTCAAAATTCGAGAAAACTCTACCCATGCAATACCTTCATGCAATTGCAATTCACGTGCTAGTCAACGATCATTAATACATGGTCAAGTTTCAATATAGGTTGGTAGTTGCACCAAGAAAAAAATATGAAGGCCCAAAATTGTAATTTCTTCGACTTTCAGAAAAAATATATTTTTTCTCTATACATAAATTAAATTATGTTTAAATATAATTCAATAACATTAAAAAAAATAACATTCAATAGCTAACAATCTATCTTTTCACTTGTAATCTAAAATTTTAAATTCTATATATAATTTAAATATTTTAAAATCTTATGATATTCTAGCTAGACATCAATTTGTTATATGTAATAGAACCGAAAACTTTTTAGATTTGATTATTTTTATAAATTGTAACTTCGTAAGGAAAACAAAATATATTCTCTTTGACCAAAAAATATTATTTATACTAAGTTTTAGTTTATGGTTGACAACAGTATAAAAGGGTCCAAAAAAAATATTTAGTATTTTGCTTTATACCAAAGGAATTTCAAATTTAAACTTAAACTTGTATTAAATTATATTTATATTGCACTATGAATATTATATATGCCCCTGCAGTTAAATATGGTGATTGGTTTTTGAATTGGATACATCATACATACACATAGATAAACATTTGATACACTTTATATTTATGGTTTGACTTAGCTCGGAATAAAACTTATGATTAATACAAATTATCAACTTTCAAAAGAAGGTTGGCAGTTGTAACGAAACGCATTAATTTGTGGGCTTAAAATTATATATTCTTTTTTCTTATAAATCTATAAATTTTAAAAAATCATTCGAATGTAATATCATTTAAAAGTTAGGTTTTATAATTTAATTATGATTCACAAATTGGTATGACGTTATGTAAAGACAATAAGATGTTATTCTATTTTCAATTTATTATGGTTTATTTGGATTTGATTATTTGTTTATAATTTGATACATTGTGACAAATCTTATATTTTTTGGGCACCAAATAACATATCACATTTTACCATAAATTTAGTTGTCATCAATAAATTTATAGTGATACGAAGTTCAAAAAGGTCCCAAAAAGTAATACTTTATATTTTTTAACCGATAAGAAATTACTAAATTAATAAGTAACCTTGTGTTATAAATTATTTTCCGTAGTTAAATGTACTTTGTTCAACCAAGTTTTGTTATGAAACTTATAAATAATTAATTTTACAGTATGGAAGCTCCAGATCATCAACCGTCACCATGAATGATCTTAATTCATGTCAATATTGTATGGTATATAAATTATTCTTATGACCTGAATTTATTGTGTTTGATTTAATTTACGGATCATTTATGAAAAAAATATGAAACCATCGGCTGATTTGCAAACCCTAATGTTTAATCAACGAAAAAACAAAAATTCATGAAATATATAGAAAACCGAGTTTTTCATATGAAAATATGTATTATGTACCACAGTATCCGGGAAGAAAGAAATTTACCGGCGTGGTAAATAAGCACAGAAATTTGAAGATTGGAGTTCAAATTCACTAAATTATATATACTTTATGAATTCAATTGGAATTTACGAAATTTGAAACCATTTCTCTGTTTATACACACACACACACACGTGTGTATATATATATATATGTATGTATATATTATATCATTTAGATCCATAACCTAAACAATTAAATTGGTTTACCGAATCTTTCACACGTAACCGAGCGACATGATCAAATGTAGTGTGTGAGAGAGAGAGTGATATATATAGTGTGCCTATATATATATATATATATGTATATAGTTATACATAAACGACAACTAAATTAAGTTATTTCCTTGTATCGTACACCCGAAGAAAGCTTCCCCTAATGGCTTCGATAGCCTTATACTTGTAGTCACCATAGCTTTCATTTCCTTTCTCATGTTCCATTTCTTTCTCAACAGAAAGAGGACTCATGAAAGCTTCCCAAGGGATTGGCCGTTTCTCGGGATGCTTCCGGGTTCGATCGTAATGCTCCCTCGGCTCTTCCATTGGGCCGTCGACATTCTTGAGAACTCCGGCCTGACGTTTGCATGGAAGGGCCCTTGGTTTACGGGAATGGACATGTTGGCTACGGTCGATCCTGCGAATATTCACCACGTAATGTGTTCAAACTTCGCCAATTACCCTAAAGGACCCGAGTTCAAGGAGGTATTTGAAGTTTTAGGAGACGGGATTTTCAACGCGGACTCGGAGCTTTGGGAGAATCTGAGGAAATCGTCTCAAGCCATTCTCAACCATCCAGGGTTTCAGAGGTTTTCGTTTCGGACAAACATGGATAAGGTCAAGAAAGGGCTTGTCCCTCTTCTTGATCATGTCGCTAGGGCAAAGATGGTGGTTGACATACAAGACGTGTTCGAGAGATACGTGTTTGATACGATGTTCACCTTGTGCACCGGGTATATGACCCCGAGACACTGTCCATTGAAATGCCAGATGCCGAGTTTTCGAAAGCTTTCAATGTCGTAAAAGAGACGCTCGTGTATAGGCATGTTAAGCCGAGAATCTTGTGGAAGCTCCAGAACTGGTTAGGGTTTGGGATTGAGAAGGAGATGAGGAGAGCTTATGCCACTTTGGATCGAATTTGTGCAAAGTACATATCCGCTAAAAGGGAGGAGATGAGCTCGGGCCTTCTTTCCAAGACACAAGCTACGGATTTATTGACATCTTACATGAATGTCGGACCGGCCAAGTACAGGCTCTTGAACCCTAATGATGAAAAATTCCAAAGAGACACCATCATAACATTTATGACAGCAGGGAGAGGTACAGGCTTTACCCTGGCTTGGTTTTTTTTGGCTCCTTTCCAAGAACCCTAACGTTTTGAGCAAGATTCGACAAGAAATAAGGACAAAAATGCCAAGAGTTCAAATTTCCGGTCGTGACGAAGAAGATGAGAAAGCATTTGATCCAAAGGAGCTGAAGAAGTTGGTACATTTACACGCTGCATTGTGCGAAACCCTAAGGCTTTACCCCGTGGTTCCATTCCAACGCAAGACTCCAATCAAACCAGACGTGCTTCCGAGTGGGCATAGGGTCGGTGTAAATTCGAAGATTTTGATCATCAGTTACGCGATGGGGCGGATGAAAGCGGTATGGGGAGAAGACGCTTCGGATTTCAAACCCGAGAGATGGATCAGCGCGAATGGAGGGTTGAAACACGAGCCTCCCGAAAAGTTCTTCGCGTTTAACGCCGGCCCGAGAATTTGCTTGTGGAAGGAAATGGCGTTCACGCAGTTGAAGACAGTGTTCGTTAAGATCATACAAAACTACGACATTGAAGTCGTCGAGGGGCAAAAGGTTGAGCCAAATGTCGCAGCTCTCCTTCACATAAAAGGCGGTCTTAGAGTCAGGATTACTAAGAGATGCTCTGCCTGAATTTTATATATAGAAGCAGTAATTCGATAAATAAATCCGACAAACGAAAAAAAAAAGCATGCAATGATAAGAATAATAACAAGATGATGATGAATTTTAGCCTATGTTTTTGGTTCATTTGTAAACTATATATTTCCGAATTTTATATTCCGGGAAAGTATCTTAGACAGAAAATAAAAAAAAGGACATCAACATAATGTAATGCACTAAGCTTGTCTTTTAAGTCTAAGATGTCAAATTGGGAGACGGATTGAAAATAAAATTAAGAAAATATTTAGTTTTGGTAAATATTCAGAAATATTTAATTTTTGAGATATTAATCATATAAGAGACCCAACAGTTTGTGGGCGAGTGGTCAGCAGTTTGTGGGCGAGTGGTCAGCAGTTGGGTGTAAATGACTCAGAGGTTGGCGGTTCGATTCCTGGTTGGGGAGGAATTTTCACATGGACTGCCCCGATTCTCTGGGAGATATAGTTGGGCCAAAGGCCCGGTGAACTTACGGATTATCAAAAAAAAAAAAAGTAAGCTCACCCACATTTGCTTCAAACCCTTAAATTCCTTGACTTCAACAGTCATATATATGCATTTTGTTTGGGTATGAAAAACTTCACATGCGTTTATATTTTTTCACATTCAGACTTTGAGTCGGGTATTTTGTTTTCGCCCAAATATTCGACAGTTTTTATTTATTAAATTTGAGTTTTTTTCATGGTTAAAAAAATAAATATTATTTTATTTTGGCCCATGTAAACCACTTGCCAACAAGTAAATTCTGAGTAAAAATATAGTAACATGTTGTGACAAAAAAAAAATCATAGTTATTATCAAATCGTCAACCCCAAATTAAACATAGATATATGCTGCAAGTCTATACCACGATAAAGTGATGTATAAAATATAATCATATTCTAATTCTGCTTCAATTATTACATAATACAAAATGTTATTAAATTTCAACTGCCATCTCTCCCGCTGCCCCTTTTGAAAGTCGACCAATGTATTAATCATAGGTTTCTTCCATGCGATTTGCAATCTTCACCTTTTTTTTTTAAGCAGAAAATGAAGTTGGAAACAACTAGGAAAAAAAAAAGTTATTATATGCCATTTATGTTAAAAATAAAAAATTTATTTCATATCGATGATATCCAAGTTTTTTGAACTGGTGAATTAAAATGAGAAGATTATATACACACACACATTCCATTCGTGCGTGTGTGTATATATTATATGGATGGGAACTTAGTTAAGATCGATCCTTGTGAAATAAAACGAACTTTTTTTTCTCTCTCTAATGGCTTTCATAGGATTACCTGAAATCTCCATAGCCTTCATTTGCTTCCTCATCTTCCATTTCTTGACCAACAAGAAACCTCATGAAAGTTTCCCAAGGAACTGGCCGTTCCTAGGGATGCTTCCCGGTTTGATCGCAGCGGTCCCTCGGATTTACGATTGGAACGCCGAGCTTCTAGAGTATTCCAACATGACGTTCATTTCCAAGGGCATCTGGTTCGCAGGGATGGACGTGTTGGTCACTGCCGATCCGGACAATATCCGACACATAATGAGTTCGAACTTCAGAAACTACCCGAAAGGACCCGAGTTCAAGGAGATGTTCGATGCTCTAGGCGACGGCATCTTCAACGTCGACTCCGAGCTGTGGGAGGATCTGAGGAAATCGTTTCAGGCCGTTCTCCACCATCAAGGGTTTCAGAGGTTTACGTTTAGGACAAGCATGGATAGGATCAAGAAAGGGCTTGTGCCTTTTCTCGATCATGCAGCCAGGGCAAAGATGGTGGTGGACATACAAGACGTGTTGGAGAGATATTCTTTCGATGCGATGCTCATTTCGTGTACCGGGTATGATCCAGGGACGCTCTCCATTGAAATGCCCGAGGTCGAGTTTTACAGAGCTTTCGATGATTTCGAAGAGGCGATTATATATAGGCACTTCAAGCCGAGAATCTTGTGGAAGCTCCAAAACTGGTTAGGGCTTGGGATAGAGAAGAAGATGACAAGAGCTCGTGCCACTTTTGATCGGATTTGTGCGGAACACATATCGGCTAAACGGAAGGAGATGGTGAGCTCAGGACAGCATCATTCCTTCGGACCGGAAACCTGTGCGGATGTATTGACATGCTTCATGAATATGGATAGAACTAAATACAAGCTCTTGAACCCTAATGACGATGAATTCCTGAGAGACACCATGTTGACGTTTATGACAGCAGGAAGGGGAACAGGCTCGATCATAGCAAGATTCCTCTGGTTTCTATCAAAACACCCTCGAGTTCTTACCAAGATCCGACAGGAAATGAAAGAGAAACTGCCTCCAAGAACCAGAAGTGGCGACGACGACGATGGACTGCCTTTTGATCCCATGGAGCTAAAGAAGTTGGTATACTTACATGCAGCATTGTCTGAATCGCTGAGGCTCTACCCTCCGGTCCCATTCGAACGGAAATCCCCGGTGGAACCAGACGTGCTTCCAAGCGGTCACAGAGTTGCAGCAAACTCAAAAATAGTGTTCCCCATTTACGCGCTCGGGAGGATGAAAAGGGTATGGGGAGAAGATGCGTTGGAGTTCAAACCCGAGAGATGGATATCGGAGACCGGAAGGTTGAAGCAAGAGCCTCCTTCCAAGTTTTTCGTGTTTAACGCTGGCCCGAGAACTTGCCTGGGCAAGGACATGGCTTATACGCAGTTCAAGACACTGCTGGTCGAGATCTTGCAGAACTACGACATTCATGTCGTCGAGGGCCAACGTGCTGACTGTATTATTTCAACAGTCCTTCGCGTCAAGGATGGTCTTAAAGTCACTGTTACCAAGAGATCCCCTGCCTGAATACATACATACATATACACAATAATATGCATATATAGCTGTAATGCTTTGTCTAAATGAAACCATTAAAAAAAAAACCAAACCCATAAGTGCAATAATAATACAAAGTTGTGTTTTTTTTAATCAAACTATCATTTAGCACTTTCTTTTTATTTCTTAATTTTCGCACTTGCACAAAGATCAGACAAACAATCTGCACAAGATCATAAAGCTAAACACGGAAATCCAAATTGTTTTCTACATGGAAGATATATATCTATACATACATATATATATATATATATATATATATATAGTAACACAACATCATAAACCATAACAGATATGTACAAACGAGAAGATTCAAAAGGGCAAACAGAGAATCAAAAATTGTAGTGCCTACCTCCATACTTACACCAATCCAATTTCCATGCATCGTCATATTCATATCTTATCAACCTTGTCAGCCTTCACCACAGGGTTAGCCTTGGCAATGGCGTCTTGCCCGACGGTCTTGTAATCAAACACGCAGTTGTGCTTGTCTGAGTAGCGATGCTGAGAACAGAAGGTATGACCACATCTGCACTTGAAGCCAGTCAGCCCTACCCTCTTCCTACATGAGCTGCACCTGTTTGACTTCAATGGCGGTGGCGGCCTCACCGAATTCTCCCCGTCCCAGATTTTGCCGGGTTGTGACTCATTGTTCTCGGGCTTTTCAGTGGTTTGTTCAATACCCTTTTCCTTTCCCACAGCCACCGTGTTTTTGGCTATGGTTTTGGATTGTTTGAGAAGAAAATCTCTGTAGCATTTGGAGCAGAGGTTGCTTGTGTTCGGACAACCGAAGAAACCGCAGTTATTAGCGCAAATGGTCGGAGCCGCTTGAGGCTCGTGGCTGGTTTCCTCCAGCTTCCTCTTCTGAGATTCGGGCTCCATTGTTATTCTAATTTCAACACTCAAATCTTCGAAACCCTGTAAATAACAAAACCCTACGAAAGGGTTCGGATTTCAGTGTCGTCAATCAAGCATCGATCTTTCTTAATCTCGGATTAAACCCACGAATCACAACTCGAAATCCGACGAAAACCAAAAAACTAGTAACCTAAAATCACAAATTCGATCCTAGAATCTCCATAATTCAAAGCTAGGATCCAAAACCCTAACTCTAAAACCAATCCAACAAACGGATCATAGGAAACCTCACGATACCTTAGTTAACCCGATGCATCGAGAGATCAAGAGCTGGAGAGATCTGAACCGAGTGGTAGACAGAGATTTGGGCGAGAAATGAACATGCAGTGGGAACACGAAGTACAGGGGGGGGAGTCTTGAAGAGGAAAGACAAAAATGACGTAACAGGAAAAAGCTCAGTTCCTTTTCGTGTGTGGTTTCATCCGTCGAGGATTAGGTTCGCTGCACACGTGCTCACTCACCGTGTCAGACTGCTTCTCGGCTGACGTGGAAATTATCCGCACTATTTTGAATTATTTTAAATCGATTAATTATCGCGGACCAATCCTAATTGGGCTTTCACAAGCCCATATGTAACCCACTTCGTCTTTTAGTTTCCCACGAAACGAATAATTAGCCCATTTATAAAAAACAATATATATATAACTTTAGGCCCATTAGTTACATCATTCTGATCAATAAACTTTATGATATTACGATTATGAAATGTAATTTACATATGCGTTTCATAATAATTGATGTTTTAGACAATTATATTTGTTTATAAATAGATATCATTCTAATTTTTCTATGTAATTTTTTAAAATAATTTTCAATTTTATCCTTAATTAAAACTATTACAATTCCAATAAACTTTTAATAATAATAATATAGTTTTTATCATTAAATAAAGGTGTATAATTTTTTTTTTATTTTCTTAAAAAGTGTGAAAAAACTCTAAAACGATAATTATTTAGGAAGGAGTATTATTTTTTGTCGGAGGCGGATGTTATAATGTTGGTTTACAATGATTTTTTCATCTATTTTTAATAACTATATAGTGCGTCACTCTCCACAATTATATTTACTAACCCATTTTGACAAAATAAAGCAACCGACAAAGATATCATCTTGTGAGATTAAAAAGTTATAATGAAAATGGAAATAATATAATATACATACATATATATATGTATATATATATATATATGTGTGTGTGTGCGTGTGTAATTAAGTGGTGTTACAGAGAGAAAGCATACCCGAATGTTAGAGGCGGTAAAATCCAAACAAAAGCATCCAAAAATCGTGAATGAGAAAAGAAAAGAGACACAAAACCATATTGCATCCACATATCATTTCATCATGGGAAAAGAAAATAACAAATACTTTGTTCCCTCATCATAATATTTATGTATATAAGAATTATAAAAAATGCACTCATTTATTTTTCAAACGTATATAATTCCAGTAATATATACATTAAATGAAATTCGGATTTTAAGTGTAATATCTTATGTCGCATTAAATTCTAGAAAATCTATAAATTAATATTTGAGAGAAGTTGATTTCTCGTAAAACTTTGTTTTCGGACCCAAAAAAAAAAGGAAGGGGAGGATTCGGATAACATGTAATGGCAAACATCGATAATTATAACAAATATGACTTTTATGGTATGCTATTTGTTCTTTTTTTTTTCTCTCTCGTTTTCTCCCTGATTTTATGTCATTTAAGCTGGGACCCATCTGCATATTACCAAACTAATTATACCAAAGAAACCCAAAATTAAGTTTTGATTGGTGCAGTTATGTCCAATCATTTGTCGGCCCCTCCATGTTAGGGTTTCTAGATTGACTTGATCCTATAGATTGCATATCGATTTTGTTCTTTCCGTTTTGACATTTGTCACTATGTTTACTTTAAATCGCATATTGCTTACCGTTACCGAGGTTTAGATTTGAAGTTTTTTTTTTGTTAATAGGATATCTTGTGCCAATGTCTAAATTAATTAATCTCGGGACGGGAACCAATCACGTGCCAAGATCCAGATTAAATTTGAAGTTCGAAGTCGGGACGAGACAAACGCTTTGCACTCTCATTTCACTCGTTGAACTATTCAGGTTTCGATGGTTTAAATTTGAGATTAGTTACCTCTTTCGCCGAATCATATCAGTTTAGACCCCAATAAGCATTTTCAGTTAATTTTATTTAATGTCATTGCCATGGCCCATGGACACATTTTTTTTTTGGAGTAAAAGATTGTGAAACAATAATCTCACATTAAAAATATATAGTTTTATACTTCAAATGGGCTTTAGACAACAGAACCGACCATGGATTATGAAGAGATACGTATAGAGATATAGCTTAGGCCTATGGGATGGGGGCTGTTGGCACAAACAGACAGAGAAGACATTACAAGACAGCCTCCAGTGGTCGGATTAATATTTATGTTTTTTTAAAATTAGTATTAAACGAAAAAAAAAACATAAAAGAAAAGATGCAGAAATCCAACGTGGTGTGATCATTCCTCTTCAAGCCCCCCCTTTGTTTTTTTCCTCTTTCTTGTCATCTCTCTCTTTTTGTTTCCAAATTTCAAGTTTATATATATATATATATATATTTGCAAGTAATCAAAGGCAGCACAGTATACAGACAAATACAAGATATTGCCTTGGAATCAAATAAGCAAGCAATTATAACTAAAGATAACACGTAGTTGCATAATGACATTGTACCCTATATATATCATGCGTTTATGTACATATATGCATCGTTATATGTATTATATAGTCCGTGAACTGAAACCAAGCAACGTACCAAAAGGAAAACATTCACTGAAGAAGTAATCATGGAGGAAAGGGAAAGCTGAGGGATGAGGAAAGAGAGATACAAATCAAATACAAGTGGGCACAAATACAAAGAGACGACAACAACCGAAATGATGAACTTCGCCAACCCACGCTCCCCCACTTCCACACCCATTAATCAGATTATTATTATTATTATTATTATTATTATTATTATTACTATAATAATGAATTTCTTTTCTTCTGAAATTCACTCAACCAAAAAAAAGTTCCAATTTTTTTTTTTAAAAAAAAAGAGAGTTTTTTTATATAATAACGTGCAAACCCCACAATCCCGATGGCGAAAAGAGAGCAAAAAGGGGAAAGAAAACCAACCCAATTACGTATTACGTGTAGCTTTGTTATCCCAATTTCCCACGTACCAATGATACTCGACGTCACAGTGATGTTGTTCTCACGCAAGCACGAGCCCCCCAATAATAATTAAAATAAATAAATATGGTTAAGGTCCAAATATGTTAGGTTACGAAGATTCGACGATTGATATAGTTATCTTCGTATAAATACTTATCAGATATTCGTATATACGACTTAGTAATGTTATGTCATGAAATGTCTATAATGTTGTGAACTATTTAGATAATACAACTTGTCGTGTAAAATACCGTGATAGCTTGGAAACTGAATCATTTCACTTGTATTTTAAAAAAAAACAGATCTATTTGTAATAATATATTAAACAACGTTTCCCAATATCACATTTTAACCGTCCGAAAATTCTTTTTCATATTTTTTTGTTAACGGTAAATATTATATATATAAAATGATCGTACAGAAGACACGTACCCAATGGTAATACAGATATTAAAGGTTATAATATTTTTCTCAGTAAAAATTAGTAAATCGCTCACCCAAAAAAAAAACAATTAGGGGAATCTTGTGATTTCCGAAATATCGTTTTATTATGATGATGCACCAAATCTATCGCTGGTTTAATTTCTATTTTTTATTTTCGGTAAAGGACGCTGGTTTAATTCCACTGTATTTTGTCTGAATTCTCTAAAAAGAAATTGAAGTTCGATCACACGAGTTTAATAAAAAATCCAAAAAGGTATTTGAGGTGGCCGAAGATATTTTAGTATATCAAATTCTTTTTTCTCCTTTATTGGTGAAGGGTTAATGTTTATGAAATGTTTCCTGATATTATCTTTTATATTTATTCTAAAGACGGTGGCTAGTTTAAGATCTTGAATGATATTGGTTTTTATTTTGGATTTTTGGTTTTTAGTTTTTGGTTTTTGTCTTTTGAATTTCATAAATTTGTAAATCTAAAAAATGGTGGCATTGAATGGTTATAGTTTTGGGAGTTTTTAGGATCTAAAAACCAAAAAAACTATCATTCAAGCTTTTATAAAATTACTGTTTCTAAAAGCTTGGAAAGCCATTTAATGAGAAAAACAATGAAAAACCAAAATTCACTTTTTTTTAGTTTTCAAATATTATAGAATCCAAAATCTAAAAACCAAAAACTAAAAACCAAGGCTTTGAATGTTGTTTTTTTTTTTTTTGGATTCTAAAAACTCCAAAAACTTCCACCATTCAAGATCTAAAATTCAAAAACTAAAACAAAAAACCCAAAATAAAAGTCATCCCCATTCAAAACCTGTAACTTTTGGTTTTTAGGAAAACCAAATTTTAAAAAACTTGATTATCAATTTTTTCAGTTATTAAAATCCAAAAACTCTGAAAGCCACTTCCTATTCAACACCTTAAATTTTATAATAAAAAATGCGTATTATTAATCGTGGTAGAATTGTATAGATAACTTTAAATTTAGTAAGTTCCACTACAAAAAAACCTGCATATAGCGACGGAATTTGCGACGGAAATTTCCGTCGCACCGAAAATTGCGACGGAATGTGACGATTTTACGACAGAATGTGGAAAAAAATTATCCGTCGCAAACAGTCGCAAAATCCGTCGCAATTTGCTACGGTTTGCGACGGATAATTCTGTCACAACAAAGAAATAGATGATTTGCGACGGAAAATAAAAATTGCGATGGATTGCGACGGAATTTTCCGTCGCAATGTATTTGGTTTCGTTTTTCGACGAAATTTTTTGAATTTTGGGTGCGTAAATTAATTTTATTTTGTAACGGATTGCGACGGAAAATTCCGTCGCAAAACGCAATATAAAACCACGAGTCGTCTTCTTCATCAGACTTCAACGATTTTCGAAAAAAAAATAAAAATCGCCAAATTTTTTCTAAATCTCTCCAAAGATCGCCAAGTTTCTCCCATAAGGTAATATGTATGTATTTATATATATATATGTGTGTGTTTGATGTGTTTGTGTGTGTTTATGTATGTGTATGTGTGTGTAAGTGAATGTGTATATATATGTGTGAATGTGTATGTGTGTGTTTATATATGTGTAAGTGAATGTGTATGTATGTGTGAATGTGTATGTGTGTGTATTTATGTATGTGGATGTGTATATATATGTGAATGTGAATATGTATGTGTATGTATATGTGATTGTATGTGTATATGAATATGTGTATATGTGTGTGTTTATATGTATGTGTATGTATTTGTGAAATATATATGTGTATGTGTTTGTGATATGTATATGTGTATGAGTTTATATGTATGTGTATATATGTGTATATGTGTGAATGTGTATGTGTGTTTGTGTATATGAAAATATGTGTATATATATGTATGTATATGTATGTGTGTTTGTGTATATGAAAATATGTGTATATATATGTATGTATGTATATGTATATTTGTATGTGTGTAATGTATATGTATGTGTATGTGAAAATATATATATGTATGTGTATATATAGTATATAATTTTTTTATATTTTTTTTTTAAATTTTTTAAAACATTTGCGACGGAATGCGACGAAATTTTTTCCGTCGCAATTTGCGACGGATATATCCGTCACTTTCCGTCGTAAAACGCAGATTTTTTCCGTCGCATTGCGACGGATTAACGACCGTTATACGTTTGCGACAGCGCTATACCGACGGAAATAAATCTGTCGCATTCCGTCGTAAATTCTTAATTGCGACGGATTTTTTTTTATATTTGCGACGGATTTTTCCGTTGCTATATAACTGTTTTTTTGTAGTGTTTAACGAAAAATGTTGGTCGTTGCGGTGTTACATCATTATCAATGTGACGGTATATCTTTTTTCCTTGTGTACCAATTCAATATTTTGGCAAAACTAAGTTTATAAAAAGAACAATTCGGATATAAAAGGCCGGAAAATATAAGTTTATGTACAAAGTTTAATGAGATTAAAATTAGTGAACATGAAAAAAATACAATTAACGTTTTTTTTATTTTAACTTGATTCCATCCAAATGATTACCACTAAAAGACTAAAGCTAATAAATTTGTGGCAATAAACTTAAACATCAATTGTACAGTAAAAAAATATTTTGTATAACTAAATGCGTTTGTATAAATGTATTTTTTATAAAATATTTGGGCCATTTTTCACTAATGTTACCTAAAAATCAATTCAAATATGAAATTATTTTGTTTACTTATAAATAACACTTCTCGGAAAAAATAGGAAATTAATTCTACAACCAAATTTTGCACATGAAAAAACTTAATTAATGTCCGAAGGCAGAAAAGAGAGAACGAAGTCTATTTGAAAAATATTCAAACTTTTATCCATTTTGATAATTTTTGCACGCTTTGGTTATTTTTTGCTCTCTTTTTCATTTTTTTTTATAGAAAAGGTTACTGGTTTTCAAATATTCCAAAAGTAAAGTCAAGTATATTGATTTGCAAAAACGGAAAACGTCTTAAATGATTTGAAAAACAATCCTATATATAAAGTTTTTGTCAGTTTTTTACCAAAATATAAAGTTTTTGTCAGTGTGACTTGAAGAAATTAAGAGTTGGGCAGACGTAATAATGGTAAACCTAATCTTTATCCAATTAATTCATAGAATCCACTCATTAATTATGTATATATCACGAATCTCCAACAAAATATTTTACCATAAAATTTGGTTTAATCCTCAAGATTAAGATACACACACACACACACATATATATATATATATATATATATAATATCTAACAAGTTAAATTACAAATCAATAACTCGCTAAAATACTTTTCGTTGAAACTCACTCCAATAACAATTTGGAGGAATAGTTACGCACTTTTCACGACCGTTGACCTAAACCTAGACATAGAAAGTCGAAAAGACTAAAATACCCTCACCCTTGCCCCTCTCGGAATATATATAAACCTCTATTGCAACCCTCACCTCATTCAACCAAAAACCCAAAGGAGAAAAGCAAAAAAAAAAAAAAGAAAGCTGAGAGATCAAAGCGATGATGAAAGCTTCAAGAAGAGCTTCAGACATAAACGCATGGGGCGGGTCCGTTCTGTTGTTGTCTTTGATACTGCTGAGTTCGGTCCGAGAGAACGATGCTTCTGGATCAGTCAGAGGGTCTCTGTTCTCGGACCGTCCATGCGAGGAGATTTACATCGTGGGAGAGGGAGAAACGCTTCACACCATCGGCGAGAAATGCGGCGACCCGTTTATCGTGGAGCGAAACCCGCATATCCATGACCCGGACGACGTCTTCCCGGGTCTTATCCTCAATATCATTCCTTTTTACCCCACTAGAAGAAGTTTGTAAGACAAATTTTTCATTTTCGGTCTTGTTTTCTTTTTTTATTTCCATTTATGTATATAATTTCACAAAGGAAAATAGATACAGAGAAAATAAACGAGTTTGTGGTTTGATTTTGGGTCATTGGGAAGATTTTAAAAGTTTGGGTCGTAAACGCAAATTAGTGAAACATTCGGGTTCCAGCGAAGGGAAAAAGTAATTAGTTGATAAAAGAAGAGCCATCGATATGCAATCAAAGACGCTAATTAGTAGATTATATCAAATTACGATACTTAATGGGGAAACTGAAATTTTAAAACTAAATTCGTTATGATTTTTAAATGGTTTATAGATCTTATGAGATTTTATCGAAATTATATTTGATGAAAAAAATAATACTATCGAAGAGATGCTAACTATTTGTTGATTAATTAGAGATAATCCTCGAATTAAGAAAAGTGTATACGTCTTCCTCTTGGCCGTTGAAATTAAAAGCGAGTGCCACCAGATTTACTATATCTACCAAAGCAAGAAAAGCCTCCACCAACCACCATATACACGTGTCCCATCATCATCATCATCATCACCATCATCATCATCTCTTTTTCAGTAACCTGAGAAAACAAGGAAAATGGTTCTATCATGTATGTCACTGCAAAAACCATCAATTGCGATCTTTCAACCTACATGAAAGCACTTTCTGATGGTTGGCACTTTGGTAAATATGAAGCTTTTGTGTGTGTGTGTGTGTAATGACCATGTTGTGATCAATTATTTTCCAAAGAATCGTATCCTTCTTATAAAGTGAATTAGAGTAATGTGGATATTTCATGGGCATAACCCTCAGAATATGCCAATCACCGTACCAAAATACAAAAACATAATAGAGAAGAGAGAGTGCATGCATCATAAAATACACAAATGTGGGTTAGCATGCAGCCATATCTGGTATCAATACCATGAATGATCAAAGTTGAAGATGGGCAGTTGAATACTTGCATCATCTTCTAGAATCTGAATCTGGGCAGGTAAACGCTAAGAGAATACGTTCCCATGGCTTCTCTAGAACCGAAAACACGCCATGAAAAGCAGCTTTCAAGGAATGGATATCCATGGAATAAACGCCTCCATAGCATCTCCGTTTGTGGAAGAAGAGCCCGTCAAAAAGCTTCTTATCCGTCTCTTTTTTTTCTTTTATATACCAAACTGAAACTGGCTATGGAGGAACAGAGCAGGAACTTCAATGAGCAAAAGCAGTGATAGGGCATTTCTCCATTGGCAGGCGACTGGCTCTGTTGCTTGCCAAAGGAGAGTTGCCCTGTGACTGCTTTGGCTTACTTAATTTGACCCTCTTTCCCGTTCTGTTCACATGATAGGCCATCTCCTTCTTCTGCTTCTTTCTTTGATGAGGTTTCCGATTTCCAGTTTCAGATTGTTGGGTCCTCCGTTTCTTCGATTTGAAACCTAGAATGCATCTCCGAGGTCAGCTTGATAACCGAGGTTTTCCAGTACAAGACGTGTCTCCTCATTCCGGGGATGGTTAGTGTCTCCAGCTACAAACTCATGGCTCTCACCGTCAACTTCTATAGTACTTGACCCTGGTGTTTTTGATATGCCCTTTTCCTTCATCAACTTCCTTATCCTCGTAACGTCGCCCCATCTTCTATTAGCTGCATAAATATTCGACAAAAGCACATGTACACCACTATCATGAAACTCCATATTTGAAAAACAATCCAAGATTTCAGGAGGAAGCTCCAAAGTCTCCCTAGCCTTGCAGGCACTGAGAATAGCACCACATATTAGCACATCGGGTTTCATTGGCATAGCTTTTACGAGCTCCAAGGCTTCATCCAACAGTCCAGCTTTGCATAGCAAATCAACCATGCAGCCATAGTGCTCTAGCCTTGGAGATACGTTGTAGCGTCCACTTTGCATCTTGCATAAGAACCTCCGGCCGTCATCGACTAACCCTGAATGGCAACAAGCTGTCAAAACAGCGAGAAACGTTACATCATTTGGCTTCAAACCGGATCTAACCATCTCTTCAAAACATCCAAGGGCTTCACTTCCATGCCCGTGATTGGCCAAACCACCCAACAAAGCATTCCACGTAAATACGTTTTTGTTTCTGATTCCGTAGAAAATCTCCAACGCTGTATCGATGCACCCACACTTTGCATACATATCGACCATAGCTGTACCCACATGGGTATCCCATCTGATCCCAGCCCGGAGGATATACTCATGAACCCATCTCCCATAATCAAGAGCTCCTAAACTAGCACAAGCTGACAGAACACTAGTCAGTATAACCCCATCAGGTTTCAGACCCGATGTCTGCATCGTAGAAAACAATTCAATGGCCTCTTTAGGCCTTTTATTCTGAACCAGTCCGCTAATAATGCTCGTCCAAGAAACAATGTCTTTCTCCGGAAGATCACCAAATAGTATCATTGCATCGTTCAAACACTCGCATTTAACATACATATCTATAAGAGCATTGCCTGCCTCGATGCTCATAATAGAAGCCCGTTTTAAGATCAACCCATGGATACATTTCCCTAAACTCAAACACCCCTCTCGCCCACTGGCCACCAGCACGCTCACATATGTAGCCGAATTTGGCTCAACATCCATCTTCAAAAACAAATCCAATGCCTTTTTGTACAATCCGATTCTCGTAAAACCGGATATAATCCCAGTCCACGAGACTACATCTTTGACAGGCATTTGATCAAACACCTTACTTGCATCACCCGATTCGCCGCATACACCGTATAGATGAACGAGAGAGTTTTGCACATAAATATCATCAGAAAAACCCATCCTAATCAGAGTTCCGTGAATTTGATTCCCTTCTCCGACTCCCAAAAACTTCCCGCAAGCCTTTAGTACAGCGGGAAAAGTATACATGTCCGGAGAAAACCCATTCTTCACCATCGTTCGATAAACCAGAATCGCGGCTGACGGGTTATCGCAGATAGCGTAGTTTGATAAAAGCGTGTTGTAGGGGAATGAGCTCAACCCACGACGGATTTGCCGCAGAAACTCGCACGCGTAGGGCGAGAAATCCGCCGATTTGCCGAGAAAGTTCACGACTTTGTTAACGACCAAGTCGTCCCGAAGGAAATCCCGGGAAAGCAACTGACACTGGATTTGCTTGAAGGCGCAAAGAGAATTGCATCGGCTGATCAAATCCAGAAGAAAAGATTTCTCTGGAAAAGGCATAATATAACTCATTAGTAACCAATCAAACTATCCCCATTTTCCAGAAATCGATAGTCCTTTTTCCGATCTCCGAATCGGAATTTCGGGACGAACAGTCGCAACGAATCCATTTTCCGGGAACTTGCTGGTGGAAGGGAAGAAGGAAACTCAGACACAAACCTTCTATTTCAAACGGAAGGGACTCCTTTCCTCCTTTTTGGGCTTTGTTTGGGCCTTTAATAAAAAATAATTTCGTTTTTGTCTCATTTGGGCTTCTTCAAATGGGTCAATACTGGGCTTTACGAACACCTACCATCGTGGAACCAATAAAAATATTGAATAATGATATAAAATATTTAAAATTTGGTTTTAATGTTCTCCTGTCAAAAACGAATATTAAATACTGTCGTTCAGGCATCGGAATATTTAGCTTTTTTTTTCCCACGGTTATCTATGCTATCAGTCAATGGTTTGAGAGAAATTAGAAGTATGAAAAAATGAGAAATTATAAAATTAAAGAAAATAAAATGTGGGAACCAACCAGTGGAAGGCACGTGTGAGAAGTGGCGAATTCTCATTGGTTGCCCCTCACATCATTGTACGATGATGTCTGACGCACCTTCCAATACTGTTTCCTCTCTTTTTTTTCCCTGCTTTTACACATTTTTTTATTCCGTGTTTTTCTTTCGTTTTTTTCCGATTTAACATAATCGCATCAACTTTAAACGTAAATATATATATATATATATGTAATATATTATTCAATAGGAATGTGCCACGTGTCATCTCGGATGGACCTCTTTTTTATTTTTTTTAATTTTGAGTGAATGTTTCCAATGGTTGGTTGCCACGTTTCCGTCTTTCTGCCTTTCAGGATTTCCGATATCTTAAGATTTATGTATATTTTTTTTCTCATAATGGTTTTTGGACGATAAATTCATTTTTTTTTATAATCAGTCTTTTGGTCTGACTACGTCTATCCTAGATCCGTCAAATTACACATTATCGTATCATTGTATTCGTAATTACACGTTCAAACAGGTGTTTCTTGTCCTAAAAAAAATATGTGTTTGTGAAAAAAAATCAACAATTTTTCAAATAAAATTGTTCCAACTTATTTATTATAAATTTACAGGCGATGACCAATCAAAACACTGAGGATATATTAATATATGATTGTAGGGTTTCTCTCTTTGTCCTCGTATTTTCTATTTTTGTGATTTCTTTCTGAAAATCCTCTTTCTCTTTCCCCTAACCATCTCTTCAAAACATCCAAGGGCTTCACTTCCATGCCCGTGATTGGCCAAACCACCCAACAAAGCATTCCACGTAAATACGTTTTTGTTTCCCTTCATTAGTTTTACCAAAACAAGGTGAGGCCACGATCTTTCCTGATATTTAATTATATTGCAGCCACGCCAATATTTTAATATAGCAAAGTAACGCTTGGACCTGCCCCAGTTATCTTAAATCATTAAAGTTAGTATATACTATAATTAGTTAGTCTCCAATATAGGAACCCACGAGAACAAAAAAAAATGTAATAAACTTGCAAAAAAAATATGTTTTGTATCTTTCAATGCAATATAATGGCTCTATTAGTTAAAGAAAATGGTAAATTAGTAGATTTTACTGCATTGGGGAGGTGTTGTAAATAATTTATATACCTATATTCATGACAGATTTTGCAATTGGTGTGGTTTCTTTTTTTTTTTTTGGGTTATTTTAGGGTTTTGTGGTTTGAGAAGAAGGGAGAGTGCTATCCACTTGAATATCGATAAAACGAATAATCAAAAAGAAAGAAAAAAAACCCATCTTTCCTTTGTCACTCGGATCTTTCTAGGGCTTCTGACCAAAAAACAAAAAACTTGTTTACTTTCCTTTTTTGTCGAATTTCATTCCATTTCTTGCCCTCAACTTTAACTTCCTTTCCCGTTCCTAGAATCTCTGTATTGCTCGTTCGTCCCAGTATACATTTTCCTGGAAAGATTGTCCAGAATCTGTCGTTTTATTGCGATTTTTTTTTGTCTTTGACAAACAGAACTCGGACTCTTGTCTACTGGGTCTCGTCTTCTTGATTTTCCGGTGGGACATTTTCTTCTCGGTCAACTTCTCTCCGGTGAGATCTCTTCCTGCAGCGATTAATTCAATTTTTTCTTTTAAAAAAAAAACATTGTTTGACTTTGTTCTTGATCTTGCTGAGATTAGGGTTCCGATCTCTGTGGATCTCGAAGCAGCTGGAAACAAAATGGTGAGAGGAAAGATTGAGATGAAAAGAATCGAAAACGCGACGAGCCGGCAGGTGACGTTCTCGAAACGGCGAAACGGACTCTTGAAGAAAGCTTACGAGCTATCAGTTCTTTGCGATGCCGAGGTTTCTGTCATAGTCTTCTCTGAGAAAGGCAGACTCTGCGAGTTCTCAAGCTCCGAGTAAGGTTTTTTCTTTTGATTTTATATCTTCAACCCATTTTTGTGTTCTTCCCTGATTTCAATCTTGAGGGTTTCTCTTGTTTTAAAATCTGTCATGTATGGTCTTACGATGTTCTTGATCTTGATTTGCTTAGGCTGTATAGCATTAGATTTGGTGTTTGTCCTACAAGATTCTTTCTCTGAACGCTAAAGATTTTGCTTGCTGCTTTTCTAAATTCTCCCCTTTTACAAAAACAAAATTAAAGGATTTTTTTTTTTTGTTAGGGCTGGTCCAAGTTTGAATATTTGGAACCACCCTTTTGTTTTCTGATGTGTTTCAAATTTTCAATCTATCATATGTGAGCTATTTTAAGCACCCAGTGTGTGTATGTATGTACGTACGTATGTACGTACGTATGTTTGTATGGTCTAGGGTTCCCAAAAGCTTCTTGAAGAATGAACATGAAAGGGATGTAATAATCTTATACCCCCCCCCCCAATATATGCAACATGAATCATTTCGTAAGCGAGATCCGTACCAACTTGCACAATTTTTTTTTTAAAAAATTCCTAAATTACAGATATTTTATATATTTAGGTCACAGATTTTGTACTATCACAACTGCTTCTCCCTATCTGTCATTCTTTTGGGTCTAGTTATTCAGTCTTTTGTGCTTAAAAACTTCTGCATTTCGCTCTTATGCGCATATATGTGTATTCGGAAGGTTCCAGATTCCATTTGGGGAGAGATATTCATACGGGATTTTCCAATCCTCTGGAGATATATTTGGATCAAAATTCCGAATTATAAAAAAAAAAACTCAAAACAATTTCGTCATTTTCTTGCTTTTTAATCTTATGGGATGTGTTGGCGATATATAGCGTCG